GGGAACAGCTTTATGAAAAAAGTTGCACAAATTAGTTTTCCCCTTTGGCTTGTCTTCTGTAATACTAGATGTGCCATCATTTTTGCTTATCAATCAATGTGGGGAGTGTGGGGGGACCACCTGCTAACAAGATAGGCCAGCTTGCATGATTGCCTTTACATGATTATGTAGGGCAAGAGGATTCTGCGGAATATTCTGCCAGAGCTTCCTAACATTATAATCAAAAGAATCACCCCAAAAAAGCCCCACCACTAAATTTAATCCAGGGAGGCATTTTTTAGCTTCAATGCGTTGCTCCTTTTGCCTGTCAAATGAATTTCTGGACAAGCCCAGATCCTGCATCAAGGATGCATTTCCAGTACAGTACTACATTTCCAACATCTGAGAGAGTTTGACAATCCCCTTCTTAAACGACTATTCTGGAGTCCAATGTCCATTAAAATTTTTGTTGGATCAATCTAGGGAAACATCCTGTATAAATCCTAATAAAGTTTTCCATTGTTTGTACTTCACTTTCTAATTCTCCACTGTCTATCTCTTTAAGTTCTTGAGTATCTCTCACATAACTCATATTGTATATTCATTGTTTTCAACTTTAAATACTGTCTTTCAATTATGTAAGCCACTTTGGATCCTTTTTAAGGAGAAAGGTGGGGTAAGATATTTTGAATAAAATAAATAAAAATAAGTATTAGAGGGCAACAGGAATTGCAGAGGGGTTGTCCTTCCTAGTTTAGTAAAAAAAAAAAAACTCACTGCTTTTTACTGAATTACAGTCATGGCCAAAAATATTGGCACCCTGTACTTAATATTTGATAGCACCCGCTTTGGAAAAAAAATAACCGAAATCAATCGCTTCCTGTAACCATGAATGAGTTTCTTAGACCTCTGTACTGGATTTTTGGACCATAATTCTTTTGCAAACTGCTCCATGGCCTTCAGATTTGAAGGATGCCTTCTCCCAACTGCTGTTTTCTGATCTCTCCACAGGTGTTCTATGGGATTCAGGTCTGGACGTATTGCTGGCCATTTCAGAACTCTCCAGTGCTTTGTTTGTAACCATCTGTGAATGCTTTTTGAAGTGTGTTTCAGGTCATTGTCCTGCTGGAAGACCCATGACATCTGGTGGAGACGCAGCTTTCTGACACGGGCCACTACGTTGCGCCCCAAAACTCTTTGGTAATCATCAGATTTCATGATATCATTCACATGGTCAAGGCATCCAGTGCCAGAAGCAGCAAAGCAACCCCAGAACATCTGTGAACCTCCACTATGTTTGACTGTAGGGACTGTGTTCTTTTCTTGGAATGCCTCATTTCTTTTTCTGTAAACAGTGCCATGATGTCCTTTTCTACAAGCTCTGCTTCTGTCTCATCTGTCCACAGTACGTTCTCTCAGGATTGTGGTTTTGTCACATAAGTTTTGGCATACTTCAGTCTTGCTTTTTTATGCCTTTGTGTCAGCAGTGGTGTCCTCCTGGGTCTCCCACCACAGTGTCTCTTTTCATTCAGATGGTGATGGACAGTGCGAGTTGACACTGTTGTATCCTGTGTCTGCAGATTCCCCTTTGGCTTCTGTAATACTACGTAGATGTGCCATCACTTTTGCTTATCAATCAACGTAGGGAGTGTGATTCTTCCGTCCACGTTTGGGGAGGTTAGCTAAACCTCTTGATGATGTTGCACAGTGGACACAGGAACATTAAGATCTCTGGAGATGGGCTTGCAGCCTTGAGATTGTCGATGTTTTTCCACAATTTTTTCTCTCAAATCCATAGACAACTCTTTACACGTCAACCTTTTCTCCATGCTCAGTGTCACACACAACACAAAGGCTGAGTTAACTTTTCTCCATCTTAACTGGTTGGAAGCGTCATTACTATATAGCTCACACCTCTTACAAATTAAAGGAACATCACATGCTTGAAAAGCAATTATTTCTTACAATTTAGACAGGATGCCAATAATTTTGGCCAGTGCATTTTTGGGTTTCTGTATGGGATTGTATCAGATTTGACTTCTTCTGTTGTTTTTTTTTTGTGTGTGTGTTGTTCCAAAGCAAACCAAAGAACTGAACACGTTCTTGAGTATCTCTCACATAACTCATATAACTGACATAACTCACAATTTTCTGAGAGAAGGGTTGCATTCTCTGACAAAATTGCAAGGGTGCCAATATTTTGGCCATGACTGTAATAGGTGTTAACCTAGGGACCTTCCTATTGGTTACATATAAAACAAGCATCTTTATGGTTCTACGGCTCCTACAGCTCTCAAAGAATATTGCAACTCTCCATAATCAGAAAAACATGTGGATAAATCTTATCATTTGGCTTTGAACTGGGATAAAACAAGGATATAATCACATACTGAAAAAGAACAGATGCACTCATTCACAATCCTTTCTGATTGTGTTTCTTAGTTAAAATCTATGTGTAAACATCTCTCTCACACACACTGCTCTCACCCTGTCTTCTTCATATTCTTTACCTCTAAAAGTCTAAGTGCTCACATTTTCTTTGTGTAGTGCTCTTGTGCTTTCTAGCTCTTTTTCTGTTCTCTTGGTGTATGGATGAGCAGAGCACACACCATCCACTAATTATATCTTCCTCCAAGGCCATTTATGGGGCTCCCATGAAGCTGTCCGACACAGTGAAGAAGAAAGTCCCAGCTCGGATAGCAATAGAGCCACAGCAACTCTGACAGGAAAGCATTCAATTGTACCAATGGACTAAGTATGGACTAACTATGAACCTGGGAAACACTGTGTATTCTTTTCAACTGATCAATTCCAGCTCAGTGTTTCCAAGTCAGCAAGATTGATCTTTTTCTTTTTTAATGGAAAAACTTCAGCCAACTTACAGAAACTGAGGTGTTGACAAGAAATGTCTTCCTCCTAAGTCCACTGGATATTTGAACATCAAGAAAAAGTACAGATGGCCAACCAAGTTGCCAACCAACTCATTGATGATACTGCAGGGGACAGGAAAAAAACATTATAGAAAACGGACAGTTACAAAACAAATAAGAGTCCTGCTCCAACTCAGTGCTCATGATAGATTTGGAGCTCCATAGAGCTACAGAAATTCCACCAAAGCAAAGGGGTGATGGACAACCCATGTGCCTTGTTTACAAGGCGATTAGTGTATCCAGGAGACCTCCTGGTGAGCAATTAACCATGCAGGGCAGGCAGCTGCCAACTTCTTATGCAGCTCACTTTTTGGTAGAAGAACATGTTTTCAACAGCAGCACAACAGATTTAGTGACAACATTGGAGGAGCAGAGACCTTTATTTAAAAAAGCCAACTCACTCACTCCCCCCTCACAGTGTCAAGACATTATAGTACCAATTGCTCCTAAGTTGCTAGTAAGAGATCAAGTTACATTCCAATCAGAGCCAATAGATGGCCAAACCCCTGTCAGTTAGTGTAGTAAACAGCAATAGAGTAGGCCCACTATGTCAGTGAGAATTTAGTGAGTGAACTCCTCCATGCGTTCAAATGGACTTACTGTGACTTATTTTAGCATAATAAATTGCAATTAAGAGCAGGCCCATTGGAATCAATGGAACCTATGGAGGAATTGACTCACTAAATCCCCACTGATTCAGTGGGCCTCCTTTTGTGCAATTTACTACATGAATCAACAGGATCTCAGTCAGTGTCCAACAAGTAATACATGACTTTTCAAAAGTTACGTTTCCTAGTTCTGGACAGAATAAATGCTATACTTTGCTTTTAAGACTTGTTAATCATACAGTGTGAATGGTTCCAACTCAGCGATAATCCGGATTCTTTCAGTTGAGTCTGTTCAGTACACAAATGTGAGCTCTTTAGCAACATAGTAAAAGTAATGTCAACATTTGTTACTTTTTTTAAAAAAGTATCAATGGCCATGATCACTAATTTCAAGACTTCTGGCAAAAACAAACTATTTATGGGGTTGTGCGCACAGCTGATAACATTTGAAAACAATTTTATTTTTCATATGTTCTGTTTAACCTCGCTGTGCGGGGCACCACTGTATGGGGTTTTGTGCACAGCTGATAACATTTGAAAACATTTTTATTTTTCATATGTTCTGTATGTTTGTTTTTTAATCAATTGCAAAGTAAAACCCTGCTTGCAAACAATGCTACAGTGTTATTCACAAGTGATAACCTGTTTCTTTTTCCTATAAGGTTTCCAAACTCTGGATAAGATTAGGGAAGGCTGATGAGTGAGGTGCTTGCTTTAGGGATTCTCTTCATTTTTATACCTACTGTAACTTCTATTTGAAAATAGAAGGACCCAGAAACATACTGCCCGTGGCACCGGAACCTCACCCAGAGCAGGGTTTTCCCCAGTATAAAGTGCCCTTTATGAGCTCAGAGGAACCCACTGGTAATGCAACAGAAAAATGTTTGTATGTCCATTCTAACCTACAGTAGCAGGAAATACTTACGAGCCTCCAATGATATAGTTGAACCCCAGAATAACCCATGGTAGATAGCATGCCTAGGAAGACAAGAATGTGTATGGGTTTGTTATGCACAAGGAAATGAAAGTACGCTATTGGGTCGTAACCTGCTTCAGAATCCTTCAAAGGCAATTCCTTAGTTCACGTCGAAGGACATGGAACTAAATGGAATCCTTTACACTCAAGCTTGAATATTTTTTTTCTAGAATAAAGGCAGCAGGGGTATAAAAACACATAGCTCCTACCATGCATGGCGCATAAAGATACTACATTCAGGGAGGATTGCCAGCAGCTAGCCCCTCCCCTCTCCGACATTACTTTCTATATGTGGAAAGTAGCATGTCTGTAAAGACATTTCTGCTCCTACACAGGCTTTCTGCAGGAAAAAGGATTCCTATTTTCCAGTCCCCTTGCTCATGTACAGGGCCTACATATAAGCAAGACCCTCTTTTCTGCGGAAAATAGCAAATGAAGGCCAAAGGGAAGTTCTAGGTACAGTGGGGTCTCGACTTACGAACTTAATCCGTATTGGAAGGCAGTCCTCAGGTCGAAAAGTTCTTAAGTCGAATCTGCATTTCCCATAGGAATGCATTGAAAACCATTTAATCCGTATCTGCTCTTTTCGTCCATAGAAACTAATGGGAAGCTGCTATTCCGCCTTCTGCCACTAGAGGGGGATATTTTTTCTTTTTTTCTTTTAACTTAAGATGACTTAGCTTTTTAAAAAAGGAAAAAAAAGAGTTCGTAACTCGAATCTAAGTTCGCAAGTCGAGTCCATATATTCCTATGAGAGCGGTTCGTAAGTCAAAACGTTCATATGTCGAGACGTTCGTAAGTCGAGACCCACTGTACTCCTTTCACAAAGTGTAGTACATCGATCCACAAACATAACGTGAACAAGCCTCAATTCCATCCTACTTAAAACTTGGAAAAACTTGTAGCAGCAAGATCGCCAATGCCAGCAATCTGGAGATTTGGCTGCAGGAGAGAATGTCTCCCTTCCCGTTCTCCTGTCGTGAGACAGGTGAACTCCACTGATTTCAGCAAAAAGCTCTGAAGAAGAAAAGTTCTGCCTAATTTAGCCTTACCTTAAACCGTGTCCCAAACCAAAATGACACCATCATGTCTCGGTTCAGCTGGGCCCAAACATAAAGCACAGACATAATCAAGGGAATCATCAGCAACTGCAGAAGAAGGAAAGAAAATTATTGAGAGGAGTGCAGAATTTTTCAATTTTCCTCTGAAATATGGCATTTCCATACATCCAGTTTTAGCAATATAAACAAAAGAACCACAGATTTTAAAAAGAAAACAAAAAGGTGGTTTTCCAACTCACTTCTGATTTAGCCAGGAGAGGCTAGGACAGACCAAGCAGGATGGAAAATAGGCGCTATGCCTTCTAAAACAGCCCACTTCAGTCTCATGGTAATTACATGAAACCTGGCTTGAAAGGAATGTTCTAGCACAGCCACAGATTCCCACGGCCATATAAATACAGGACTCATAGACTGCATTTGGATTTAACCATAAATAATAATCTATCATTATGTGAATGAGTCTCTGGCTTAACCATGCCCATTTCTTCAGGTCAACCACAACATCAGAATCTTTTGCTTCTGCTTTCAGTTTTCTAGTGTTACAAAGAGACCTTCAGCTCCTGAAAAACAAGCCGGCTTCTTTAGTCAAGGCCTGAACGTTGGTTTGCTTTAGCAAATCACAGTTAACGCTACCCAGATTTTATGTTTCCATTTGAATACTATACTAAAGAGCAGTGAGTTAAAAACAGAAGCAAACATTTCCAGTCGTCTCACAGTCATGCTGGAGAAAAAAGGGATTGAATTACACACACCCAAGGCAACACTAAGACATAGTTTTATTGCTTTCAGGCAGTCATATTTTCTTAGGACTCTTTCTCACAGGACTTTCTGCTTCACTGCACATAGAGAAATACAAAATACACACAAATCATATTATAAATTGGAAAGCAGTCAAATTCAAATGACACATTAAATGTTTTCTTTGGCTTGCCTTCCAAATATTTATCAACAGATACAGATCTTTTTCTCCTGCCACTATGTTGATTTAGATGGGAAAGTAGTGAACTGTGCACACACTTCCATATGTCATGGTCCATGAAAGTTTGATCCTTCCATTAAAGTACAAGTAGTACTGCAAGAAACCAGTTCCTCCTAAACCAGGCTACTGTCACAATAGAAATTTACTTACCTGCATATTCATTGCCAAGCCAGTAATCTTTCATTGTTTGTTTAAGGAAAACCAAACATACTGTATACACACAATCCTATGCTAGATGAAAGGTCTGAAAGCCTGATGCACTGTGAATACAGTGGTGCCTCGCTTAACGATTACCTCGTTAAATGACGAAACCGCTTTACGATGAAGTTTTTGCGATCACTTAACGATGATCAGTTCCCTTATTCGGGAATTGATTTTTCCCTAGACAATTTTAAAACAGCAGATTGGAGGCTCTAAAATGGTTTCCCTGCTTTGGGAATCGATTTTTCACTACACGGCGATTTTAAAACAGCTGATTGGAGGCTCTAAAATGGCTCCCCGCTGTGCTTTAGGACTGATTCCTCGCTTTACAAGCACCGGAAAATGGCCACCCTATGGTGGATCTTCGCAAAATAAGCAGGTATTTCGCCCATTAGAGCATATTTCAATGCATTTCAATGGGTTTTTAAATTTCACTTGACGAGGATTTCGCTTAACAGTGATTTGAATGGAACGAATTATCCTCGTCAAGCGAGGCACCACTGTATAGTGGGAATGTTGACACAGGTATCCATGTAACGGGAAACTACAATTTAAAATGATGACTCAAAGCAATTATCAACTTCAATTGGGAAGTGGAATATGTCAAAATTTAATTTCACCTTAGCAGTACTATGGGACTGCTTACATGCAACCCAGAAACTGCAGTTTAAAATAAATTCCTCTCAAATTCCAAACAAACCAAGTTCAAACTCAGAATTACCTTGACAGTTTATTTAAACAGCTAGAACTTATTCTAAATTAATGCATATAATGACAGGCCGGGAATCTGCGACACTAGAAGTAAATTTTGGATTATATTTCATCACAATATTTTCAGAGGAGAGGAAATCCCTAACCCTTATGCTTCCTGCAAGTTCATTGCGCTTATTGGCGTAACCTTAAACAATGGCCTACCGTTACATGTTCCCATGCTCATATTATAAGACTCTGCATTTATAAAGCATTATTTTTATTTTATTTTCTGTCTTCACACTTACTCCCTCCCACCCCCACCCCCTAAAAGTTAGGCTACTATTATTACAAGGTCAAAAAGGAGGATGGGGAGGGTGGATTAATAGTAGCTAAGACCACTTAGTGAATTAAAGATTGAGCCAAAATTCAAAGTAAGCAAGCTGTGGCTTATAGGTATGATGCACAACACCTCTGGGGCTCCTCTCCCCACACTCTAATATAACAAAATGCTGGTGGTGGCAAATGAAAAGGATACAAGAATGCAGATCCAGTTAAAAAGCAGCATGAACATGTAGTCGGCAGGCCTTCCATCAAAAGCACCTGTGAACAAAGCATGGCAGCAACATGAGCTGAAACCTAGGCAGTTGTTTTGCTATGTTTCCCCAAGGAGAACTGAACGACTATTCAGAGGTATTATTATATCACAGGGCGCAACCAAAACTCGCGTTTAAAGAGAGAAACAAGAGGCATCTTTGTTTCAAAAAACCTGCAAGAAGCAAGGCTTTCTTCAATGCATGTCTGAAAAACTATTTTTTCCTAAACTATGAGACAAATTAGTACCTACTGCTACAAAAACAATCCAGAAGACAGGTAGATTAAAAATCAAGTTTTTTTAATTGATCTAAATCACAAATTGATTTTTTTTATTTAAGTTTTTAAAAATCCAGTTTTTAAAAATCAAATCTTGATAGAAATTAATTCTTATTTAAACCAAATCCACCTTGCCAGAAAAGCTAGTAAAAATTATTGTTGTTGAATTTGAATTAATTAACATAGTTGCACCATAATGTTCACAAAATAATAAATATCTGACAGCTAGTTACCTGTTTCCAGTCGTGATGAATACTGATACAAAAAATATAAGTTCACCAGGTAAAGAAACCCTGTTCCTGGTCCAACAGGGAAATAGAACGTCGCAGTCAGTGGCCTCCATATCTGGTCATAAAGAAAAAAAAATCCCAGTGTGAGTTTCAGAGTTTTATTATGGAGAGTTACTTAAAAGCTTGTTTAAATGGTACAAAAGCTTAACTTGCTTACATAAGGCAATATCACAATGTGGGGCAGCCCCAAAATACCATCTGATACAGTGAAACAAAGGAAGACATGTCTGTTCTGGGCATTTGAAAAATATCACATCTGGGAGAGAGTCTGTGTATCTGGTAATTAAAAAGGGTTATGTTTCTAGTTCCAGTGACAAAAGACGATCTGATCTGGGCAGCATGATGGATCATAAACCAGAGAGTGTTAAGGAGAATATCCAACAGTCAGGAGAAGAAGCCAGTGGGTCAGTTCAGAGATCACAATAAAACCATGACATACTGTGAACATTTATGAAGGTGATGAGAGAAAAAGAGAACTGGCTTTTGACCCCATGTTCTCTTTCAGTGCAGCTGCAAAAATGATTAGAAGTGTTTGCTTCCACGCTTTAACTTATAGCAGTGTCACACTTGATCTTGGCAAAATTGTGTTTCCCTTTTAACAATGATTTGTTTGAAGTAAGAAAAATTAAACCTTTGTTTTAATAAACCATAATCCGGCATCACTGAATTGCAGACATATAAAAGGCTTTTCGAACAACTTCCAAATATTGAAACACCTAAGCACCCTCAGTGATCGCAAAACACTACCCAACTGATAAGGAAAAAGAGGTGAAAAATGGCATTGATGTTGTTGTTGTTGTTTATTCGTTTAGTTGTGTCCGCCTCTTTGTGACCCCACGGACCAGAACACGGCAGGCCCTCCTGTCTTCCACTGCCTCCCGGACTCTGGTCAAATTCATGTTGGTCGCTTTGATGACACTGTCCAGCCATCTCGTCCTCTGTCATCCCCTTCTCCTCTTGCCCTCACACTTTCCCAATATCAAGGTCTTTTCTAAGGAGTCTTCTCTTCTCATGAGATGGCCAAAGTATTGGAGCCTCGGCTTCAGGATCTGTCCTTTCAGTAAGTACTCAGGGTTGGTTTCCTTTAGAATGGATAGGTTTGTTCTCCTTGCAGTCCAGGGGACTCTCAAGAGTCTCCTCCAGCCCCACAACTCAAAAGCATCAATTCTTCGGCGGTCAGCTTTTTTTTAAATGGCATAGGTAGAATCAAGAGCATGAACAGCAGGCAGAACGAACAGCAGGACTCTACATTACAGTGCTTTGTTGTAAACTCGGCTTGTTTAGATTAGCAGTATACAATTCATTCAAAGCACTGATTAATGTTTTCTTTGCATTGAGTCTGGAATCTGAATGTGTTAATGCCAGTAATCCAATTCTGTACACCACCTCTATCCATCTGGGGGCAGAAAATTGACTCAGATATTGTAAACAAATTTATTTGCCTATTACGGCTGTTTTTGTAACCAGGTCACTATCTTTACCCACATTTTCCCACAAAAATACAACAAACAAACAAGACATAATGAAAACTCTAAAGCTATTTTTAGTGGCATCAAACCCTTTCCAAATCACACCTAATCATTCAGTCTATACATGACCTGCCTGGGTTATTTTTCAGTGGGCTTCACCAACCCGCTTCACGTCAGCCTCAGGGAAAAGCAGGCAGGCTATTTAGGTAGTTAACTTACAGAAAACCACTGGCAATTTATTACTTGAGGATTCCTTCTACAAGTGACACAGAAACTACAAACAACATATTGCCATGGGATTAGTTGACTTCCATATGCCATTTTGTATGAGTTGCCCCAACAGCCTGTCTCGTGCATGAACTTTCCTACCTCTCCACCTGCTCCACAGAAGCACCCATCAATCACATTTCAAGAGCAGCACTGCTAACTGAGCAAGCAGCAACAGCCACATAGTCTTGCTTCTGACACACTAGCTATGTAATCAACAGAAAAGAGGACATTCACCCACATTACACCCATCTGTAGTTTACTTTTTAAAAAATGCCTTTGTTTCAGAATTGAGCCAACACATCTGAAGAAACTGTTATGTGTGTGTGAAAATTCTCGGACCGAACAGGCCTTTGCACATATGTTCCACTGTGTTTGATGGTGCTTACTCCAGGTAAGTGTGCACAGCATGAATTTATAACCTTTTCCCTGAAAATAAGAAAGGGTCTTATATTAATTTTTGCTCCAAAAATGCATTGGGGCTTATTTTCAGGGGATGTTTTATTTTTTTCATGTACAGTGGTGCCTCGCTTAACGATTGCCCCACATTACGACGAAATTGTTGTATTACGATCTTTTTGTGATCGTAATTGCGATCGCAAAACAATGGTCTAAATAGGGTTTTTTCGCTTTGTGATGATCGGTTCCTTGCTTTGGGAACCGATTCTTCGCAAAACGATGTTTTTTAACAGCTGATTGGCGGTTTCAAGATGGCTGCCGGTGCTTAAAATGGCTCCCCGCTGTGTTTAGGGAGGGATTCCTCACTATACAGGCAGTGAAAACGATTCCTAACTATACAGGCAGCGAAAAAGGCCGCCGTATGGAGGTTCTTCGTTGGACGGTGAGCTTTTACCCCACTGGAACGCATTGAACGGGTTTCAATGCGTTTCAATGGGGTTTTTAATTTCGTTTTACGATGTTTTCGCTTAACGGCAATTTTCCTGGAACGGATTATTGTTAAGCGAGGCACCGCTGTACAACAATCTATTTATTCAAATACAGTCATGTCATCTGGTTGCTGCACAGTGGTGGAGGGTGGGCTTTCCCTTAACTGGGACTTATTTTTGGGATAGGGTATATATTACTACCATCTTGAAAAATCATACTAGGGCTTATTTTCAGGTTAGGTCTTATTTTCAGGGAAACAGGGTATGGGCTAGGGGTGATGGGTTTACTGCCCCTTCCTGCAGCTGAACTTTTTCTTGCAGTGGAGGGGAAAAATTGCTACAGGAATCCAAACAGTGATGTGTGGCAGAGGAGGTCTGCTTAACAGCTAAGCAGAAAAAGTGGTTCTTCTCTTTAAACACTGGCCATGACCCCTTCAGTGTAAATCTCAAACTGTCACAAGCAAAGACACTGTTGTATTTAGGATCACATACCTGCCATGTGACTCAGCATGCAGCAAGAAATCCTCATGCTGATTTCTTAACTTGTAGCAAACCAGTGGTATAATTTTCTAAACAGAATACAGCTACTGATGAGAAACAATGCCTTTAAATCCACAGGGATTTAAATAACAAAATATGCCAAAATTGCTTTATTGTCAATTTTTGATAATACAGATCTGGACCATCACTCGAAAGAATTAATCACTAATTTTATGACAGGTGCTAGAATATTAATAGCTAGATTTTGGAAAGACAAGAAGGATATTAAAATTGAAGACTGGTATTGTGAAGTATGGGACATTGCATTAAATGATAAATTGACTATGGAACTTAAAATAAAAAGAGGGGAAATAAGATGTAACAATTTCTATGATATTTGGGGTAAATTTGTGGAATTTGTGTTAGTGAAAGGAAGGGGGAAAGCCTCTAAAGAATACTCAATACAATTTTGGAGAGGTAATCTGTAAGAAAAAAATTATTATAGTAAATAGAGTCCCGTGGGTATGGGGTGCACATTAGAATTTAGTTTATAATAAGCACTATTACTTGTATTTTTTTGTATTTTTGTTATGTATGTGTTCTTTTGTGTATTTTTTTGTGTAAAATAAAAAAAAATAAAGAACAAAATATGTAAACCTTAAATGCAAAAACTGTCATGCGTGTCGAATGCCCAAAACAAGGCAACAGCGCTCACACTGCAGGAGATATGCATAGAGCTAAGCTGCATTCCACATGCCCAAAAGCTGCTGTACATCAGAGCAAATGGGGTACAGAAATGAGCCTAGCTTTGGAGACTGGGCAAAAGAAAACGTCCAAAACGGTAAGAATTATGCATGCATTCATGCTTCCCACCCAGTATGTCTCAGATGTTGCCCTCGGTGGTGAAAAGGATTGTGAAACCTTGGTCCAGAGGATCACAGCCTTTAATTGTGCAGAGGCGGATGGTAAAAACTGGTAAGCAACTGGTAGCATGGTGCACTCAACTTCACATGTTAGTTCTAATTCCGCCCTTCTATGTCAACCAAGCAGATGGTTCTACAGCTTTATGCACTGAACTTTCCCCGCACAGAAAAACAGTCAGTTCATCACACCTCCCCCCCCCCTTATTCACAGTGGCACATATGGCTACACTGTGCAAGTCACCAAGTAACTTTCTAGTCAGAGTAGTAGCACTGGCACAGTACCTTTATCTTTTGTGCTGAGAAAAATACCCTTGCATTTGGCAATCTATGTTTTTATTGTAAGCAACAAGGAATTCCATGCAAGCAAGCAAAAGGGCATTCTGAACCCTCTTCCACTTACCTACTCAGAGGTGAGTAATTCGTGGTTTTATGCTAGCCATAGTCAATGGGGCTTCTCCTTTAACCTATCTAGTATCAAAACAAAGCAACTTTTTTTGCATGCTATACTGTAACTGTTCTGGATATATTTCCAAAGATGGAAGAAAATATCAGGGAGACCTTGCAACTGCATCTCTCCCAAATAAAAAGCCTGAGGCTTCCACATAAAATGTTCAGGTGCAAACATATTGGATGGTGTAGTTTCTATCCTGACCTCCAGCCTCTGCTTCTTATACTACCAGTCCAGGCGGCATTTCAATTTCAAACAGAAAGGAACTCTTGCACATATAGGCAAGAAAGGCAGTTTGTCAAACAGGTGTCACGACTCTGCTGTCATGAATTGACAGACTTCCATGAAATAGAATGGTAAGTCACTGAAACACTTATTTAAACTCTTGTTCTACTTCTTGTAGTCACCAAGAAACACGCTTAGGTCAGTGAGAGAAAGAAAAATAATTGACTAGACATGGTTTTTAAAATTGGTTTATGTGACACTATTCCTATCCCACTGTACTTTAACTGAATATATATGGTTTCTGTCATTTACTGGTAAGGAAAAGTAATAACAAGACCAGGTAACTGATATAAAACCTATTGCATCATTCACTCCCAACTGCTCGTGTCAATGACCTCACATTGCTCTCTTTTTGTAAAGATGCTACCAGTACATAATGCCATTTTTATTTCTTAAAAAAAGTAGACAGAGCTGGCATGAAGGGATATAAGCAGTTCTGAACAAGAAAACAGCTTATGGAGAATAAGGCAAAAACTTAGAATGAAAAAATTAACTGGCCCAGGTTCAGATAACATAAAAAACCTCTTCACTAAACTGGTGCCTATAAAAACATGAGCATCTACCTGACGGTTTAGAAAAATCTATTTACATCTTTTGCATGTAACAAAGAAACATCCTGCGTGTCTGTTATTTTGCTAGTGACGAGATAGAAGATGTTATACACAGAAGTCAAATGCCTTTCTTACCAAAGATCTAGTTCAGAAGTACATGGAAAACATCCTCACTGCACACACCATTTCTATCATTACAGCAGACACCACCCACATGTTTTTATATATATCCTTGCACCTGCCACAAACAGAACTTGTTGGGGGCAGGGAAAAGTTGAAACCATACAACTCCCCATGGAGTTTCAAAGTTTCACCATATCCCTCTCTCCGCTTGCAAGCTGAACACATCAGAATATGAAGCTTTAGCTAGTTTCCCAGTAAAATGCCTTCTCTTTAGAGTGCCTGTGCATTTTCAGCCCACCCTTTCGACAAGGAGCTCAGGGCAACATGTGTGAAGTACACCCATTTTACACTCACAAACATCCTGTAAAACACACTAGGCTGTTTCTGATCTTTTGGTCTAAAACCATCCAAGTGCTTCGTTCCTTTGATCTGATGATGCAGCCTGCAGCTATCGTGCTGAAGTCAAGCAGGCCAATATCTACTTACGTGGAAGACCACCCAGAAATCCCTCTTATACTATTATCTATAGGGTCCCTTCCAGCTCTCATGGATGATGATGAATATATCTTTAAGAGGACGCTGAAGATGTCTTTCAAGAGGCGTTCAGTGATATACTCCCCTGGGCCTACAACATTTTTGTTCCCACCATCTTTAGGGATTATTAATTTAAGACACACGTCTTATTTATTGATCCTTAATGTTGGTGTTCCCTAGATGTCATTGCAGAAGAAAGGCTAGGTATAAATGTCATACATTTAAGGAGCAGATAAACAGCTGCCCTCCCTACTAAGACTCCATCTTCTGCTCCTCCTTATACATTTGAGTCCTAAAATTTCTTATTAGCCTGGCAGGTGCCACACTTCCAGGAGAGGTAAAGCAACTCTTGTTCCTAAGAAAAATTACTCCTGGTGGCCTTCCTTGCACAGATATAGTCCCTTGGTGGCTTCATTTGTTCTCCAACCTTTTTTATAAAGAATGACAGAAGTAGTAACTCATCCCTTGTAAGAGGGATTTTTTTAAAAAATCTAATTAATCCCTTGTAAGAGGGATTTTTTTAAAAAAATCAAATTAGTGATGGCATCCTTTGTTCTCCAACCACTATGGTAACGTGCTCTGTATGGAGGACCTGGAACAGCATCTAGTGTGGCTGAGAAGGCCAATTCGAGAGTGACAATCTCTTCCACATTGAAGACAAATACAATCTGTCCCCTGTCCAGCTCCCTGATTTTGCTTGTTTCGGGACTGCCTCTTTGCTTGGGCCTGCTGTACAAGTGTCTCTTCAAATTGGGAGAGGCCACGATTCACCGCCTGCTTCAGACGTCAAGGTTTCCCATCTGTTGAGGTCCATTCCTAAGGCCTTCAGATCCCGCTTGCAGATGTCCGTGTATCGCAGCTGTGGTCTCCCTCTGGGACAGTTTCCCAGCATAATCCTCCATATAGGAGGTCTTTTGGAACTTGACCATCAGCCATTTCACGACATGCCCGAGCCAGCATAGACATCGCTGTTTCAGTAATGTATACATCCTAAAAATTCCAGCTCGTTCTAGGACTACTCTATTTGGAACTTTGTCCTGCCAGGTGATAGCAAAAATCCGTCAGCGGCAATGCGAGGCAATGCATATGGAACGTGTTCAGCTTATTCTCCTGCCGGTGCACAAAGGGTCCAGGACTCACTGCAGTACAGGAGTGTGCTCAGGACACAGGCTCTATAGACCTGGATTTTGGTGTAAGCCGTCAGCTTCTTATTCAGCCATACTCTCTTTGTGAGTCTAGAGCAGTGGTTCTTAACCTTGGGTTACTCAGGTGTTTTTGAACTGCAACTCCCAGAAACCCCAGCCAGCATAGCTGGTGGTGAAGGCTTCTGGGAGTTGCAGTCCAAAAAAAACTTGAGTAACCCCAGGTTAAGAACCACTGGTCTAGAGAACATGGTAGCTGCTTTCACAATGCGTTTATCGAGCTCAACATCTAGAGAGAGTGTGTCAGAGATTGTTCAGCCAAGGTACACAAAAGTCATGAACAACCTCCAATTCTTGCGTGGAGACAGTAATAGAGATTCGATTTAAAAAATCAAATTAGGTTTCCTCTAATTCAGGGGACCACGCTGACACTTCCCTCTCCAGAATAAATAAGAAGATAACCACCAACGACGACTCCCAACCTGCCACGCGGCTCCAGCGATCTCAAAAAGCTATGTTTCCCTCAAGACGAAAAGCGGGCGACGACGACCGGGCCTTTGAAACGGCTCTAGCGGGCGCGCGCTACGCATGCCGGGAGCGGTAGTCCCGGGGACTCCCCCCTACCTGGAAGCGATTGAGAAAGGCTTCGGGCCACAGGAAGAGGTAGACGGGGCTGACGAGGCCTAACTTGCCGACGAGGGGAACCGCGATGGAGCCCGCAAACCAGTACCGAGTGATGAGCGGGATACTCCGGAACCACTCCCCGAGGTCCGACATTTCGCTTCCCCTCCGCGAGGACCTGACGCGAGGCCTGGACGCCGGACCTTTCCACCACCACCCCCTCGCCTTCTTGCCGGCGCCGGAGTTGTTTCCACGGTGAAAGCTCCGAGGTTGGATCGCGGGCAAGGCCCGCCTGCCTCCGACGTGTCTGCCCCGAATTCGGCGAAGGGACGGCTACTTCCGGTTTCCGCCCTCTACAGACATGGCAACGGGGACCAAAGAGTATAGAGGGAAGAGGAAGGAGCGTCCCAGGAAGTGCCATTCCTTAAAGGGACAGCACGACTTTTTTCCTGCGTGGTTCCTTTCTTAGAGAGGGTCACACGTTATGCACCGCCCAGAGTGGATGCACGTCAGATGGGCGGTATACAAACTGAATAAATTTTTTAAAAAAACTGTTCACATTTTCTTGCCAACACCTTTCCAGCGTTTTAGGTCCTGCTGATTTTTTAAAAAGCCAGTACCAAGTATACCTTTATCCTTATGCTAATATACAGTACTTTATATTTGTATAGGTATATAAGCTAATACCTTAATATTAAAGGACCACAGAGGTGTTAAAGTGGACATCCACCATTATAGTGAATAGAATGAGGGACTAGGATTCAGGAGACCTGGGTTCAAATCACTAATTAGTCACAGAAATTCACCATGAGGTGGGCAGAACACCTTAAATACCTGACCTTGAAAGCCCTGTGAGGGTCACTATACACACGAGATATTAAAGAGCTTTTTACCTTAAATATCTCACCTTGAAAGCCCTGTGAAAGTCACTATACCTCGTTTCCGACACACAAGATATTAAAGAGCTTTTCTGGACCCATAAAAAGACTACGGTTTTCAATAATTAGGACTGAGAGATAAGCTTGGGAGTTAAAAGGCGCCGTTTGATGCCATGTTTGTTTAGCAACTGTGGGATTGCTTCTCCCAGTCAACAGCCCCAGGGGTGGAATATGAAACCCACAAGAAGTAGGACCTGATTTGAAAGCTCCCATTTTGAAAGTTGGCGCACACACCTGGCTATGCTGTTTTTGAACAATCCCCCTTTTCAATTGACGCGCCTTATTCAACGTCCTCTAGCGCTGCTAAACCTGGGGAAGGGGGGGGGAAGCTACTTTAGAAAAGAAAACCACAATTCCCAGAAGGCATTGCGTCGGATTGTTCCACGCTGAGAGAGGGGATATCCGGTGCCGCTGCACTGCTGCGGCCGCGGAAAGCTTCCCGCCTCGGTCCTTTCCCCCCCCCTCCCCGTTTGGGCCGCTTGGCGTCTCCCGCAATAGTGGGCGGGTCCCAAAGGGAGAAGCGACGGTTGGGGCGGAGCCGGAGGGTTGCAGCTATTCAAGCCGAAAGTGGCGGCTGCGGCAACCCGGAGGATGCAGAGTTCGGACCTGGGCAACAAGGAGGAGGGCAAGATCTGGCATCGCAAGCCCTCCCCGGCTGCGCAGCAGGGGTAACTCCGCCAGAGGATGGGGGCGGGAATCGGCTTTGATTTTGTTATTTTCCCCCCCTGTATTTGCTGAGCCAGCACGTTAAACAACAGCCATAAACATAGAGCGCATTTATACCCAAAGGCAGTTTGTGTTAGAGGTTGCAGGCAGTATGGTGCAATGGTTAAAGAGGCACAGCAGACTCGAGAGATCCGTATTCATATCCACTAGCTAGATGTTAGTCGTACACTGTCAAGTCACCTCTATGAAGGAGTGACTTGAGAGTCACTTTTGGCTAATTTCTGGGTTTCGGACTAACCCACCTTGCAAGGTTGTTGTAAAGATGGAAAAGTGACATTCCGGAATCCATTGCATTCTCTTGAGCTTCCTGAAGGAAGGGAGCATACAACGATCATAAGTACACATGGTCTTGTAACACTTTATAGGCATTAGGTGAATTTGTGGAAGATGATTCTGTCGGTGAGAGCCTACCAAAGTTTCTGTGTAACATAAGAAAAATCATAGAATAGCGGGACTGAAGGGGCCTATAAGGGCATTGAGTCCAACCTTCTGCCCAATGCAGGAATCCAGATCAAAGTACACCTGACAGATTATTGTCTTGTTTTCTCTTGCATGCCTCCAGCATTGTAGCGCTTACCACCTCCCACGATAATCAGTTTCATTGCCATACTGCACTAACAGTTAAGAAATTTTTCCTGATATTCAAACCTGGCTTCCTGTAACTTGAGCCCTTTGTTACATGTCATGTACTTTGAGATGATCGAGAATAGATCCTGCCCCTCCTCTGTACGACAGCTTTTCAAGTGTTTGAAAAATGTTATCGTATCGCCCCTTGGTCTCCTTTCTCAAGGCTAAACATGCCCAGTTCTTTCAGTCTTTCCTCACTGGGCTTGGTTTCCAGCTCTCTGATCCTCCTTGTCACCCTCCTCTGAACTTGTTCCAGTTTGTAAGCATCCTTCTTGAACTGGACACAAGACTCAAGGTGAGGCCTAACCAGTGCTGAATAGAGGGTATCTAGTACTTCATGGGATTTGGAGGCTATACCTCTGTTAATGTGCCATGAAATAGCATTTACTTTTTTTGCAGCCGCGTTGCACTGTTGGCTCATATTAAGCTTGTGACCTATAACAATTCCAAGATCTTTCTCACTCATAGTACAGTTGAGCCAAGTATCCCCCATCTTATAACTGTGTGTTTAGGTCCCCCACCCCCAGTGTAGAACTTTGCACTTATCCCTGTTAAATTTCATTCTGTTGTTTTCAGCCAACTGCTCAAGATCTTTTTGAATTTTGTTTCTGTCTTCCAGAATATTAGCTATTCCAGCCAATTTTGTGTCATCTGCAAATTTAATAAGCATTCCTTGCACCTCATCATCCAAATCATTAGTAAAAATGTTGAAGAGCATCAGCCCGAAACTGAGCCTTCTGGTTCCCCTCTTATTACCTCCTCCCAGTTTGGGAAGGAGCCATTGATAATCACTAAGTACAATTCTGTTACTATGTACCCACCTAATAGTTGTTCTGTCCAGCCCACACCTTGTTAACTTGCTAATCATAATATCACTTTGGCAAAAGCTTTGCTGAAGTCAACCTACATTGTGTCTACAGCATTCCCACCATCTACTAGGGAGGTTACCTGATCAAAAAATGAGCTTAGATTATTCTGGCAGGAGTTGTTCTTGACAAATCTGTGTTGGTTTCTATTTATTACTGCATTCGTTTCAAGGTGCTTGCCAAGTGACTGCTTTATAATCTTTACTTTCTCCCCAGAGTCATCGTAAATATTATTCACAGTACCACAGGCTACCATTCCAAAACAATACGCTTCTTGAATGTGGCTTTTGATAGCTCTGGAGATTCATTACTTGCTGGTGATCACCAAGGCAACATCTATGTTTTTGACTTGGTGGGCAACAGGTAAGATCTGTGTATTTATTTTGTTCATGTTTTGGCTTCCTCTTATTTAAAACACATAAATTGTACTATATGGATAGAGGGATGCACAGATTTGTACAGTTTTGACCATGATGTGAAGGAATGAGTTTTCTCAGCACTATTTGTCTGCTCCTGGTATGTTCTCATTATTTACATACCTAGAACATTCATTTCTTGAGATTATCTAATATCCTAATTCCTGGGTATTTGAGAAATCTTCTAAACCAGAGGTCCCCAACCTCTGGTCCGCGGCCTGGTGTCGGTCCATGGCCTGAGCCGGACCGGGCCGCGGAGACAGACCTCCCCCCCACTCAACCCCGCACAGCTGATTTGCACATGCGCTCCAGCACACCCATGCAAGTGCCACACAGCTGTTTGCACATGAGAGAGAGCACCCACACAAGCACTGCACTACCGTTTGCACATGCACACAAGCATGAGGCGTGCCCCGCCTTCCCCAGCTGGTCTGCAGGGTGAAAAAGGTTGGGGACCCTGTTATTAGCCACTGGCATCGACAAGGCTATTTTATATGACTGTCCTTTTTTATCACTTCATGAAGGGCTTGTAAAATGCTCATAGGGGTCAAGCCTGGGACATTTACTTATTGGCAGTTGCCTTGTTTGGCTGTGTAGCTGTTATGCTTTCCTTGTACTCTGCCAGAATTATTCTGATTTGTACAAACAGGTTCAGCTTGGTTCAACGAACAGCACAGGCTAGCACCGCACTGGCATTTAATCTTCGCAGAAAAACAGAATTCCTTGTGGCTCTGGCTGATTATTCCATCAAATGCTTTGATACAGGTAATAGGCACTATTTATGCCACTGCTGGTCCGGTCATTAGTGTCTGTAGATCGCTACAGTGCCAAACCTGTTTTGGGCTAGAAATCTCACAATCCCAGGGTGGGGATGGGGCTTCTGGGACTTGATGTCCAAAACATCTGGAGTCGCATAAGTTGCCCACCCTAGGCATAAAACATCCTTCCCTTGCCTCATAAGGAAAGTACAGTGGTGCCTCACTTACCGAGTGCCCCGTTTAACAAATAATCCGCACTCTCCCTCCTGAGCAGACTTTCTAGATTTTATCCATTTTAATCCTGTCATTTAGGTGTTCTTACTCTCCCCTGCAGATACTAAAGAACTTGTTAGCTGGATGAGAGGGCATGACTCTTCAGTGTCCTCAATCTCAGTTCATGGTTCTGGCCGATACGCCATCACGTCATCTGCAGATACAGCCCAACTTTGGGATCTTGACACGTTTCAGCGGAAAAGAAAGCTGAATGTTCGCCAGTCTGTGGGTATCCAGAAGGTCAGTTCCTTTACTCTCTTTGTTGAGTTTGTTCTAAAATCCATAACAGTTTGTATGGTCATCGGGCACTAACGATGGTGAAGACAAAGCTGGCCCAACTGAAGTAGATTTCCCTTATTCCAACCTCCTCCAGATGTTGGCCTGCTACTGCCAGCATCCCTTACTATTGGCTAGAGCTGCTGAGAGGGTAGTCCAGCAACACCAGGAGGCCCAGATGTTCCTCACAGCTGCCTTTGAGCTGATCTCTTTACCTATCATTCTTTTCAAATATGAGTCCATATTTATTCCCAAAATTAGGGGGCATACTTCTTGAACTATAAATGGTCGTAGCACTGCTGGTTGGAGAGAGAGAGAGAGGAAAATAAAAAGATAGATAGTAGTGCTGATTGCAATGCATCTTGGATCAGGTTGGTGTCCAAGAGTGATATGTGATGTATTGATTAGAGATGGGTACAAAGTACTCCCTTCATTATAAGTCATCTGTGCAGCAGCACAGCTGCTGAGCATTCCTTTCCCCTAACCCCCTTGCTGGCATCTCCACTCAACAGCTGGCGTGCATGGCTTTGTCCCTCCCCATTGTGCCACTGTTCAGTCCTAGCAGGAGTCCAGACTTCCCTTCTCCATCTCCTCCAGCAGTTGGCCACTCAAATGAGGAGGCGGGGCAAGGATTCCTGCAGCACTGCCTTTGAGAGGCCAGCTGCTGGAGGAGGCAGAGAAAGGAAGTCTGGGCTCTTGCCCGGACTGAAAATTGAATGATGGGGAGGGACAGCAATGCACACTGGCTAGTGAGTGGAGGTGCCAGCGAGGGGGTGGGGAAAGGAACACACGCAGCTGTGCTGCTGTGCAGATGACGTATGATGAAGGGTGTGTGTGAAGTACTTCATGCCCATCCCTAGTATTGAAAACTAAGATTGTATATCAGGGCTGGAGAACCTGCTGGTCACATAGGTTCTCCACCTAGCTTACAGTCTGCCCGCTTAGAGCCCCACAACAGGTAAGCTTGATGGAAAAACCTCTCTTCGGAGTTTTTTTCCAAATCTAATTATACTGCAGAGAGGGTTCAAATTGCAGAGGGAGAGTTTGTAGCAAGAGAGAGAGCACTCTGCCTTCTTGTCATCATACGGTGCCACTCATATGCCCATATCAAACCCTGCACAGTGATTAAACTTGAAAAAAAAGCACTGAAGTGGGAAAGCATTGTCCTATCTTAATTGCCAGGTGGGGGTAGGCATCCATGTGTATGACAGACTATATATCGCTTAAGCACAGTTTTTAAAAGTTACTTCTGAGGCAGCAAGTCCTCAGATGTCCTAGACAGGATGATGACTGGGGGATTCGGAGATTTTATAATCCAAAGAACAACCCCTTTTCCCAAACTCTCTGCTTTAGCCCTGCGCACAGCTGTCATCAACCCCTGCAAGTTTTCAAATCTGCCTAATTTCCTGCAGTTCCTTTCTCTTAATGCAGATCTTGTTGTGATGCAGAGACCCAAGCTGTTCCCAGCCACAGTCATTTTTCAGATTCTCAAACTATCGTCTGGAATCTCCGGTTGTGTATCTTGCAGGTCATACAGCCTTATCAAAGGGTTGAAATGTAAGGGACTAGCTGTAGTTGTAATATGCAAGTTCAGCTTTTAGAAGTTCTAATCTCATCTTTGTTGTGGTGTTGAAATGTGCTTGTTTTAAATGATCTTTTCTGTGTATTCTTCCTGTGTTTTTAAGGTCTTCTTCCTTCCCCTAAGTAACACCATTCTCAGCTGCTTTAAAGATAACTCTGTCTTTGCTTGGGAGTTTGACACTCTTCGCTGCAAGTATCAGCTGCCATCTCCCATAGAAGGTTCCGCATTGCGCTACAAAGTTTTTGCTGTTACACGGTAGGTGTGACCTTCAAGCATGCAAAGGTCTGGATAGGCGGTGCTGAGCCATGGTTAAATAAAGTGTTGTTTCTATCATCAGGCCTTACTTCTTTGTTTAGTTTTGTTTTTAGTCTGTCTTCTGAGTAAGGTCCAAACAAGACATTTTGTGGTTGCTTACAAGACACTGCATCTAGCACAGAGCGTGCAAAACGGAGGTGTGCAGATTTTTATTTTTGGACTTTGATGCCCAGAATTCCCTACGAGTTCCGTGAGTTGTCGTCCAAAAATCCAAACCTGCACAACTGTATTGGGAAATTTACCTTCTTGGACTATAAGCCTGAGAATCCACCAGGCAGCACGACCTTTGGTGGAGAGAAGGGACAAAAATGTGGTATCTCATTGTGTCAAGGCAGCTGACATCTATAAGAATTAGGTAGTCAGTGGTTATTATTTCTATTTCTAGTTTAAAGCCACCACATATGTCTCAGTGTTCCTTCACATTGCTAGTTTTGGCTCTGTTCACTCTTCAAGTGCTAACATGATCCTTTCCAAAGTCTGAGATGGGAAGTCCTCAATGTGAAGGCAAATGCAACACATGGAATGACTTTAGTGAAAATGAAGAGATTGTGCATAGAAGGTATATTGTAGCTATAGGCATCCTTCAGTCTCAAGAGACTATGGTAACATGCTCTGAATCGAGGAGTGTCCTCTCCAGAGCATGAAGCCCGGGTAAGGTAATATGGAGGATAGGCTGTTACCCAAGCAGCAGATCCCCCCTCTCCACATTGCTGAAATGATCCAATGGAAAGGCAAGAGCCAATACAACTGGTTCCAGCAATATCGCAGGAGTTGGCAGAACGACACATGCTGCCTTCGGGACTCCAGCTCCGGATTTGGCCTCGAGGTTAACTCCTGAAGCCTTTTCCATGAATGGATATAGCCACAAGGCAGTGGAGGTTTGAAATCGGAGTTTTCCTTCTCCTAGATGGGCTGCCTTCCATGGCTGACGAGCCCCCCCAGAACACGGCCAAGGAGCCCGAAAAACCCACAACAACCATCAATTCAAAGTTTCTTCCCCTGGTCTACGTACTTTGAAGTACATCCTTTCAACACATTGAGAGTTACTGCTGAGAAGATGTGTATAAAACTGCACAGTTGTAGTTTCTACGTGGTTTGTTATATTTGAAATTGTAAACTTGAAAATGATGAGTTTGTTCCATTGTGCTTAATTTCTCAGTACCCCAACCGGAGTCGGGTTGGCTATTTAAACAAAACCGTTCCATTTTCCTGTTACACCGCAATCCCATGTGTGCTGGCAAGCTTTTGACCTAGAAGTCCAGTGGCAAATGGCTGTAGAGATGGCTGGATGAATGACAGTTCTGTCTTGTTCTTGGTACAGAGATGGCCGGGTCCTTGCAGCTGGCGGCAAATCAAACCACCTTCATTTGTGGTGTCTGGAATCTAAACAGCTACTAAGAATAATCCAGATGCCAACTAAAGTACGAACAATTCGCCATCTGGAATTCCTTCTAGATAGCTTTGATGGTGGCTCTAATCAAGTGAGTAGCAGAACTGACAGAAAAAAAGGCTACCAGGTTATTGGCTAGCTTCCCAAGAACTGGTTCTTGCTTTTGTTTTTATCTTTTTATTTTAATTTAAAGTTGAAGACAAACTTGCCACTTAAAAAGTAGAAAGGGTTACTTCACAAACATGTAAGAGTTGAGAACTGTTCACCTCGGTGGAGCAAATCCTCTGAAGTAGATTTGGGTTTTTGTTTTGCTTTGTTTTGGGGTTTTTTTTTGTTTTTGTCTTTCTGTATCCTCAGCCAATGGGAAAGGATTGTGGGAGTTGTAGTTCCAGTTGGGAAAAGCATAGTGTGCTGGTAATATACCACCCATTGCACTTAAAAGAACTCTTTGAGCAGTTTACAATTTAATTATGTATGCTACACATTGCCTCCCCAGTGACCTGGGTACTCAATTTACCCATTTTGAAAGAATGGAAGGTTACCTGAGTCCATCAGGGTCAATCTTAGGTCATGAGCAGAGTCTTGACTGCAATATTGCAGTTTAACCATTGTGCCACAAGGCTTCTCAAAGGTTTTCCACCTTCAAGGCTGTTTTTTGTTTTGTTTTTATGGAAAGATCACCCAATTGCCACTTTGAAGAAAGAAAAAGAAAGAATCTTGTGGCGCTTTATAGACTAACGTATTGGAATGAATTTTCATGGACTCCAGTTCACTTCTTTAGATACCAGAGTGGGCTGAAGAGAATGAAAGTTTGTCCCAATTAAACTTCCTAGTCTTCAAGGTGCCACAAAATTCTTTATGGCTTTTGCCACAAAATTCTTTATGGCTTTTGTCACTATTCCCCTTAAAGCCTTTGCTTTCAAGATGGCTGGGACCACCCCTCTCTTAACAAGATATTCTCTCTTTTTTTCTTTTTTTGCACCTGCCAGTGTTTGGTTACCCTGGTGGGATGCTCTCCTGGTGGGCTGCTTTAGAACAGGCATAGATAAGATTCATAAAATAAATCAGTAATTTTATACCCTTTCAATTGTCCTCCAGGTTCTTGGAGTGCTGAGCCAAGATAATATCCTGAGATTTATCAATATCCAGACATGTAAACTTCTCTTTGACGTTGGCAGTCACGAAGAAGGAATCAGTACAGTTGCCTTCAGCCCGAATGGAAGATACATTGCAGCAGTCATGGAGAATGGTAGCCTTACCGTATACAGTGTCCAGGCACTGACACAAGAATTAAATAAGGTAGAACTGTGAAATGGGTTTTAATGGGAATTAAATAAGGTAGAGATGTCCTTCCTTCACTGGAAGGACAGATCCTGAAGCTGAGGCCCCAATACTTTGGCCATCTCATGAGAAGAGAAGACTCCCTGGAAAAGACTCTGATGCTGGGAAAGTGTGAAGGAAAGAGGAGAAGGGGATGACAGAGGACGAGATTGTTGGACAGTGTCACCGAAACGACCAAAATTAATTTGACCCAACTCCGGGAGGCAGTGGAAGACAGGAGGGCTTGGTGTGCTTTGGTCCATGGGGTCACAAAGAGTTGGACATGACTTAACGACTAAACAACAACAAGAACTGTGAAATAGTGTGAAAGGTGGAAGCTTACTTCAATCCATTGGGCCTAATATTTTCATAAGGTGGGAGGGTGGGACATACAGCCCTCCATAGACCAGCCCACCTAGAGGGCATCTCACTGGGGAAAGCGAATTCAGACTGTAGCGAAGACTAGTCAGACATTTCACATATAGGCTGGCTGTTTGGGAAATAGGTTATCCTATTAGTCATTTCCCAAATCTTGTCCTTTTCAGCCTCCCCCACCTCTGTTTAAAGCGATAGAAGACACATCCAGAAGCAAGTTTGACATAGCCAAGCTTACAATGAGAGTGACATCCAGAGTCCCGGAGAGGCCATGGAAATCAAAAGGGGGCAAAATTCAGACAAAGGTGCTAAGACCACAACCGGATATGTCGCATGAGGATAAAGAGGTAAAAAAAGGGGCTAAGGCTAAAATCTGAAAGGGTATCTAGTTGGTTTGTCTGTAGAAACCTACAGAATTGCTGAGGTACTACTTCCCCCCCGGTTACTGAAATCAAAATTAAAAAGAAGGCGTATGTAGTGTCTCAGTATCCAACAGTCTGCTGCCCCATCAGCAAGCTCCTCTTATACTCAGCAAAGGTTCCCCAGAAATATTAATGAAAAGTTTCATCTTGTTTATCATCCTCCAAGCCTAGCTGGAGGATTAGAGGTTGAAATCATCTTAATTACTTTTCAAAGAATGTATTTCAATAGGTCCTCTGTTCATATCTGTTCACATAGGAGGGAAGGCTTTAATGATTGGTTTTATTTACATGCTTAGGCATGTCATTGTATTATATTGTGTTTTTAAAATATTGAAACAATATTAGTTCTGTATAAAAACTGAAGAATGAAAAAAGAGAGAGAAAATTCGTTTTCTTAGGAACTCAAACGGAGGCAATGTATAGCGTGGCGAGGGCAACCTGTGGCCTATCGATTGCATTCTGCACCTCCCCCAGAGCCCATGCCCGAAATTTTTCAAAAAATTATTTAAAAGGTGTTTTACTCAGAAAATTCCCTTGTGCAATACAGTGGGTGAGGGTATAATTTTTGCTATCTTTTGAGAAGTCCCACTCACACCAAAATAAGAAAAAAAAAAATTCACCACTAGAAGGCACAGGAGAACTTTTTCAGTCAAAACTCCAGTTTTTGTAAGGAAAAGAATGGGGCAAAGATCATAGGAGAAGGTGCCACTCTCCAAAATTAAGGGACATATATGTGGCTCCTGGACTTCTAGAAATAATCTCTGAGGTACACACCACCATCCTGTCCTCACTTCATTACAAATCTCCCCTCGATATTTATGAAGAAGCAGTTGATTGTGGAAAACAGAAGCTTTCAGTTAAAGACACCAAAAGTTCTTAAAACCCTGTGGTTGGTTGGTTGGTTTTTGCCTGCCTGTACAAGATAGGTTGGTACCACTGCTGTATTTTGTTAGTGCCAAAATGCACCTGCCCCACAAAAAATTAAAACTGAGCAGAAGAGTGATGTAATCATTGCAGGAAATAAATTTTTTTCTGTTCCAGAACGAGCTGCCTGAGGGACTGAACAAGAAACGGCTCCAGGCCTTGCTGAAAGGATTTGGGGAGTATCCGGCAAAATACAGGTTCGTAGGTGCAGATGTCAAACCTGATCTCCGCCATTTTGGCCAGGCAAGCAAACATGGGCTACCTCTCCCATTTTGTGTCCTAATTTCAGGATGTTCATTTGGCGGTCCCTGCTTCATCTCCCAGAAAATCACTTGGCCTTCAGCAGCTTGTTGGATAAAGGGACTCATTCAGCATTTGTGCACCTTCAGAGCGAATATCCTATTAAGAGCAGGAAACTCTTGAGAGTCTTGCAGAGGTAAATGTGGGAATGTCGCAAGGTGTTAAGGGGTTGGGTGGTGAAGGGGAGCGTTCCGGTATTTCAGTTCAATGACCAGTTGACTGTACATAGGGGGCGGCCTTATTTGGAGCCAGTCTTGGGAGTGCCACCATGAAGAGTTTTGGGTAGGATTTTTCCCCCTAATCCTACCGAGAAATGCCAGGAGTTGACCCTGAGACCTTCTGTATACAAATCATACACTCACACGACTAAGCTACTCCCCTGCTATTGTTCTGTTTATGTATGCATGATCTTTGCAACTGCTTGACTCATGATGCTATACAACAGTGGTCTCCAACCTTGGGCCTCCAGATGTTCCTGGACTTCAACTCCCAGAAATCCTGGCCAGCAGAGGTGGTGGTGAAGGCTTCTGGGAGTTGTAGTCCAAGAACATCTGGAGGCGCAAGGTTGGGGACCACTGCAACAAGATTTGAATTCAGTTCCCCCTGAGGAGTCACCCGTTTTGGTATACTGTAGCATACATTTTTGGAAAATGTGTGCAATGGAAAACATTTTGTTGCAAGTTCTTGTTTGTTTTTTAGATTTGTATACCACCCTTCAATATGAATATTCTTGAGGTTGCTCACCGTAATGAAGATAACACAGTAGAATTCAGCAATTCAGTAGTACAAGTTTAAAACAGCAACTTAAAAGTAGGGCTAGCCGAAGACCTGATCTGTATATGTGGTAAGAGTTATGGGTAAAACATAATTCACCAGTTTAGATAGCAAGGGAAGAGATTATATTTTTGAAGGGTCCATTGTGTTAAACATCCCTCCAGACAGGAAAGCTGTTAGGTTTGGGGCCGTCAAACATTTGCTAAGCAACTGCTTCTCTCTGCATATAGGACACTGTCTGCACTAGCTCACTGGTCTATCATCTTTGGTGAGATGCCCTACATCCCTCTGCTGGCCTTTCCATTTGTCAAACTCTTTCAGAACAATCAGCTCATCTGCTTTGAGGTGGTTGCTACAGTAATAGGTAATGAAAATTTCAGAGTAATGGAATGTAATATCATGAAGGAGGAGGATATGGCTGGTTGGAATACTGTCAGATCACTATGACAAAGAGCAGGCTGAAAACAAGAGTCAGCAACTAATTCACATGGTTCAAAGGCCACCAGTCCCTCTATCCAATCTTGCCTGAGCCAGAAGACTCTCGGACCTTACAGGATATTTCTGAGGCACTAAGAAATCAAAGCCAGAAACCTTCTGCTTTCTTACAGTCATAGGCAAAGACCAGTGTACGCTCTATAGCATGCATACTCTATAATGTGTGTAGCTAGTAGTCAAAGAGTAGGAGATTGGATTTATTGTCAAGGCAAGACCTCAGTAGTTCAAAAGAGTTCACAGAAAAGCCCATGTTGGGGGGGGGGAGTTCGTATTCTTTATCCCTATGGTTTGTCCACTAACATCTTGTGCCTGAATTTGCCATTTGTGGAATAAAGCACAAGATGTTTCATTCACATGCTGTTGTTGAGTAATCAAATGAGATTTTGCTGGTTTCCTCCTTTCCTTCCTTTCAGTTAATTGGTGTCAACACTGGTTTGAATTTTTCCCCAATCCTCCAATCAATGTCCTCAGTATGGTGGAAAACATTTTGGCACATCATGACAAAGAACTCCTTCAGCATTTCATGAATTACAATATAACATCACAGGTAAAGAGATGGTCAACTTAGCTATGAGGACAGTGAGACCGGTACTCCACAGAGTGGTAGCAGAGAAGTTACCCAGAATAAGACGAGTGTCATCAGCTGAAGTTCAGTTTCAAAATGGCTTTAATGTATTTCTCCCTTACCTTGGTCCAGCTCGTACTGTAGGACAGAAATTATGCTTCATAGGAATTTGTATGTTGGTCATTTTTGCTCTGCTGCTGTGTTTATACTAATTTTCTTCATATACATGTATCAAAATGGCCTGTGTTGGAGTCTTGGTTGCTTCTGGGATTTCAGTTCTTCCCCTTCCTCTTAGTGACCTATAATTCAAATGTACACAGTTTCTTAAACTTCCTCATGACATATAAAGGATTTTCGAGCAGATGGCCTGAAAAAAGTTCTCTTGGCTGGGAGGTTGAATGTTATTCTACAACCCCAATCCTCAAACAGTTTTCTTCAAATAGTATCTTGTGCATTATCTGGAAGTAACAGAATATAGCAAAATTTAACTCAGCAACCCATTTTTTGGGTCGCTAATGCAATCGCATTGCGATGTTTAGATAGGCTAAACATCGCATTGCGATCATTTCTGCACCCGGCGGCCATTTTGGGAACAGCTGATCGGCGGTTCCAAAATGGCCACCGGGTGCAGAAAATGGCCGCCCGCCTGCTGCTTACTGAGGGCGCGAAAATTGCGGCGCTATGGAGAAACTTCGCAGAACGGTGAGTTTAATGCATTCCTATGGCATTTTTCCTTCCGTATAGCGATGTTTCCCCATAGCGACGGTTAATCCGTAACGGATTAACCTCGCTATGCAGGGCACCACTGTATAGCAAAATTTAACTCGGAGTGAACCAGGCTTGGGCTGTTCATTCCTTTGCTCAGACAACGCGTGGGAAAAATGAGTCACTGTTTCTTTACATTAAATGGCATTTGTATCCTACGTTTCTTTTAATGTACAGTATTTCCTGAACCTATTTTGGGAGATAAAGAATGTATTGATTCATGTGTTTAAACTATTTTTATCCTGCCATTCAGCCAGAAAGACTCCCAGAGTGGCTTATAATACAGGGCAGTCCCTGCCTGCTGGCTTCCAATCCAAAATAAACCATAGGGAGTGAAAATGATGAGGGAAGAAGAAACACACAAGTTCGGGCACCAGTGTTAAATGCTGCGTGGTTGACGTTACACAGGAATCCAAATCCTTTTTGATTTCATTCATCAAGCCATTCACCGAATGATAGTTTGGTCCTCAAACCCAGTCATGAGGACAGTAGAAAAACCCAAACCCTAACTGCCAAATTAACAATCCCATAGCGGGTGGCACAGCTGCTGACAGCACCCTGATCCCGGTTAATGTTAAACAGCTTGGAACAGTGCAGAGATCGGATCAGAGCTGTGCTTCCCACCTCTCTCGGTTGCAGATCTGCCCTGGTTTCTAGAGTTGTAGCTTCCCTTGAGTATTCCTAATATTCAAACAGGCCTTTAATAAACATGTGCCATCAAGTCAATCCTGACTTATAGGGACCCTTTTCAGAGCTTTCCAGGCAGAGAGTATTTAGAAGGGGTTTACCATCCCCTTCCTCCGGGGGCGCCCTAGGACTGTGCAGCTGGCCCAAGGCCACACAGGCTGGCTCTACTTGCAGGAAGCACAATGTGAATTTGAACTCCCAACCTCTAGCTCCATAGCCAGATACCTAAACCATTGACTATCTAGTCAGCTAAACAGGGCTTTAGCGGCTGAATTTTCTTCTCATGCATCTTTGAATAAGTGTGCCATATATCTCTTAGACTGCTATATTTTTAAATTTCTCTTTTAATCTTTTATGTTTTTTATTATTATCATCATCATCATCATCATCATTATTACCACCTATTAGGTCTATGCTTGGCCACTTCTGGAAACCATGTTCTCTGAGGTTTTGACGAGGGAAGAATGGCTAAAAATGTTTGACAATGTCTTCTCTAACCACCCTGCCTACTTTCTGATGGTGGTTGCTGCGTACGTTATCTGTTCCAGGGCTCCTTTACTTCAGTGTAATCAGAAAGAGGACTTTGAGGTAAGGGCCGTACTGTTTGAGTTTGGCATGAACATTTATATCTGTGGGGCCTAGTTCACTCTCAGGAAAGACAGAAATTTGTTGCATTGTAGCAACAGCCTCAAAGTAAAAGCAGTATGTTGTTTGCCACTGCCACAAGAAATCCAGGACTTGGAAGTGTGTGTGCAAAATTAGTAAGTGGGACACCTTATTTCTTATTTTTAGCATAAGGTAGGGCGGGCAAAGTTCAGGTCAGCAGAACTCCAGCGCCACACATAAAAAGGAAAGGGAAAATTCAACAACTACTGTATTTTATTCGCGAAGGCTTTCACGGCCAGGATCTAATGGTTGTTGTGGGCTTTTCGGGCTCTTTGGCCTGTTCTGAACGTTGTTATTCCTAACGTTTCGGCCACAGAGTGCTGTCCTCTGAAGATGCCGGCCACAGAGACTGGTGAAACGTTAGGAAGAACAACCTTCAGAACATGGCCAAAGAGCCCGAAAAACCCACACAACCAACTACTGTATTTCTTGTACCGTCTAGTGCGGCAGCTGTGCTGTGTTTCTCCCACACAGGCTCCTGTTTCAGACCAAGAGATTCACAACTGGAAGTGACTTCTGATTATTTCCGGTTCTGTAAAAAGAGTGTTTTATGCTGAAAACAGGTTGCAGGGCCAACAGTGTGGCAAAACTGTCCTTCCTGTGTGTCTACTAGAAACACCATGTTGTATGGTGAGAGACATGGGAGGCTTTAGAGCAGCGGTCCCCAACCTTTTTAACCCCGTGGGGGGAAGGGAGGGCACTCCCTGCGCTCGTGCACATGCATGAAGGAGCAGGCGTGCTCTCACATGGCCGGGCGTTCGCTCGAGCGTATGCGCAAAGGGCGGCAAGGTGCTTGTGTGTATGTGCAAAGGGCAGCATGGTGCAAAAGAGCACTCATGTGCATGCACGAAGGGGTAGGGGAGTGCTTGTGCGGGCACAGGTGCGTGTGCATGCGCAAAGAGGTGGGGGGGGTCTGTCTCTGCAGCCCGGTCTGGCTCAGGCCATGGACCGGCACCGGGCCGTGGACTGGGGGTTGGGGACCTCTGCTTTAGAGGGTGCTAGAAGTGGGACAGCCCTCCAAGGTTCAGACCTTTGGAAATTGTCCAGTTTGATTTAGATGGTAGAAATCTTCGGGAAAAAGCTGTGTTCCTTGCTACTCAGTACTTACTTACAGCATTAAGCAAATTCAGGAGATTTTGGAGATTTTGAACAACATTCAATCAGATCACTTGTCACACATTTTATTCCTTTTCCTGTTTTCTCCCCCTGACTGTGATCCATCTGTCTTTCATGGCAGTATTTTTTCCATCATCGTAACAACCTGGATGTCAGTGTGGTGATTAAAGAAGCCTACCACCTCATGAACTGTACCCCGGCAGAGATCCACCCACGCCATATGTTGGAGGATTTTGTGCCACTAACCAAGGGGCAATACCCGATATTTAACAAGTATCCCAAGTTCATTGTGGATTATCAGTCTCAGGAACGGGAACGAATCAGACAGGATGAAATTGAGTACCTGCGAGAAAGGTATTGATGGCAACCGAGCATTGGAGCATATAGAGGAGAGGGCTGAGGCAGCCTGTTTCCATGGCAAGAGTAAAGAGTAACTCAGGTTATATCCTAAAATGGGATGTGAATTAAGAAACTAGAATTCCACATAAATTGGACAAAATGATCTGATCCGGTCTTGCAAAGCAGAATCCGACTGTGCATACATGCCCACATACATTCGTAGGTCAAGATCCAAAATATTATATATTTATGTGTTGTGCATATTTATTGGCTAGTATTTTGTTGTCTAAATGCAAAGTGGAAAGGAAATCCTATAATTGTTCTGCCTGGCTCTGCATCATGGGGCCATTTTCACACTGGTTTACCACATCAGTGACACAGCTGGCCACCAAACTGGGACCCTGTCAGAGCTGAAGAGGTGCTTAGGCTGTTTGTCCTCTGCTCTGCATTCAGGCAATGAGATTCTAGCCACTATTGTTTAAATGGTGCCTAAACTGTTTCGAGACTGTTTAACATTGTTTGTACGTGTATTTTAATGTAAGCCAATTAGAGATATTGTTCTATCAAGTGGAACACAAACCCTATCAATAAATAAGGCAGCAGCAGAACCAAAGAGGCATACAGTGGTGCCTTGCTTAACGGGCGCCCCGTTTAACGACGAATCCACATAGCGATGGCTTTTTTGCGATTGCATTGCAATGTTGCCTATGGGGAAAAATCGCTTTGCAATTTTTCCCCATAGCCCCATTTTCGCCCAGCTGAGCGGCGGGGGCTTCGGAAGGACCGCAGGGGAGCCCCCCCCCGCGGTCCTCCCAAAGGCCCCATTTTCGCACAGCTGATCGGCAGTTCCAAAATGGCCACCTGCTGTGTTGCCTCGCTTTAGAGGCCCCGAAAATGGCTGCCGCTATGGAGGATCTTTGCATAACGGTGAGTTTTCCCCCCATAGGAACACATTAAACAGTGTTTAATGTGTTCCTGTGGGGTCTTTTGCCCCGTATAGCGATGAATCCAGATAGCGACGATTTATCCGGAACGGATTATCGTCGCTATGCAGGGCACCACTGTATCTTGATTCACACATCCAGCCTGGTCTGTTCAGGAGGTTCTTTGCAGATCTTATGTATGAACCAGTCCAGAGGGTTCAAGGAAAGCAACTACAAAGCATTCCAGAATTTAAATGCTCTGCCCATTTGGGTCATCCTCTCTCTGAATTACATATACAGCCTGGAAGCAGGTGGAATCATTAGTACAGTCCACTGTAGCCAGAATCCTAGCGGTTGTTTACAGAAGCACAAGAGAATGCAGAAGTTGCCATTGTTAATGGCAGCTTACCAACAAGATGCTGCTATGTGTGACCAATATGGGACCAGTACCTCATCAGTTAGCCGTGGCAGTGTCCGCATTTTCTCCTACATGTGCCAGAATCCTATATCCTGCATGCAAATGTACATTGCATAAATGGTTTTCATAATTTTCTGGCCATCTGTTGTGCACTCAGGCACACAATCAAGTGCATGAGAGGACGTGTCCGTGCACAACAGCCAGCCAGAACGATCATTCGTATCAGTTAATGCCAATATGATTTACAGTGTGTAAACCTAACATTACTGGAGCACATACTAACCAGTACTGGTAGTAGCCAAAATGGTATTGTCTAAAAGTGAAATCAAATGTCATTTCCTGCTTTGAGTTGGGACATTAATGGGCTTGCTCAAACTCATCTTCAAGCTGTATGAAATTTTTCTTTACAGACAGTTGGTTCATGAGATGGAAGCAAAAGCCATTGAACAGAGAGTGGAGGATGAAGCTTGGTATCGGAATCAGGAGCTCCTGTGTGAGGCTGAGGAGCAAAGGCGGAATATTTTGCTTAAGGAAGAGGAGAAACTAGCGGAACAAAGGCGGAGGTATGCTCTCTTGTACTTTCTTTAGTCCTGCATGCAGACATCTTCAAGAAAGCTAACCTTTTTTTCTGTATGGATTGGAATTAGCTTCGTGTTATGCAAAATGTAAATTGCCCATCTGAAATACAATTAGAAAGCATTCTCCCTTATTGGGTCACACAGTCCATGGTTAAGGAGCAGCAGATGCCAAAACCTTTCCATCATGTTTTGTCATGGCTCCGCCGCCAAAGGTTCATTTGTTCTTGCCTTTCTTCATTCAACTTGCACCTTGGGGTTCGAAGGCTCGCGGCTGTGAAACGGGAGCTGAAAGTGAAAGAGCTGCAGTTACTGGAAGCGGCAAGGAGGCGTTTCCTGAAATATCAGCAAGACCAGCGGGAAGTGGAGCTCAAGCGGCTTGATGATGAAATTGCAAGAAAGGTAACCTCTTAACTCTGGAGTAGTAAGCGCAGCGCTGCCGAGAGTGCCAGCATTTCTACGGGAGTCCACTTAGTGAATTGTCGTCTTTCCCTGCTTATTATCCAATATGGAAACTTCTCATTTCTCTTTTGGTGGAGGCGTTGAGGCTTTCTCTTGCCAGCTGTGTGGCATTCTGATATCTAAAATTGGCTATACAGCTTCCCCCACTATGAACACTCTCAATATATGCTATACAGTGGTGACTCGCTTGATGACGTTAATTCGTTCCAGCGAAAGTGCTGTAGAGCGAAAACGTCGTCAAGCGAAATATAAAAGCCCATTGAAATGCATTGAAAACTGTTCAGTGCTTTCCAGTGGGCTCAATACCTGCTTGTCCAGCAAAGATCCTCCATATGGCGGCCATTTTCGGGTGCCTGTTAAGCGAAAAATGCCTCCTAAAAACAGCGGGGAGCCATTTTGAGCAGCCAGCGGCCATTTTGTAAGCCCGACGATCAGCTGGGAACCGATCGTCGCAAAGCGAAAAAACCCCATTAAAACATTGTTTTGCGATCGCAGTTGCGCTCGCAAAAACATAATCGTGAAGCGGATTCATCGTTATATGGGGTATTCGTTAAGCGGAGCACGACTGTATTGATACACACTGGCTATAAAAGTAAAAAATGTCCCTGGCTCTGTTGGCATGACTTGTACTCATCTGCTCTAGGCATTGATGAGAGAGGAGGAAACAGCAGCTACCGTTCAAGATGTGGAAGTGCGACAGATGGAGCTTGAATCCCAAAGGCGGCTTTTCGAACAGGTGCGGCACATGATAGGGTATTATCTAGGAAATGCAGTTTTAGGCTTTTCACCCCGGGTTATACCTTGCCCCTGTGCTGCACAGCTAGTTTAAAGCAGGACACCATGCCTGCCAAGAAGAGGTTTGATTCTACTTGGGGAGAAAATGATCTTGGTGCCAGCAGGTGGCTTAAAGAAAGGATTTCCAAAGTGTTAGTCCTGCCCCTTGTCGCAAAAATAGGTGACTTTGGCCCGTTATAACCAGGGGTGAGCAACATAATGACCATGGATTACCTGCTGTGCCGCCAACCATTTTACCAGCACAAACACACACACCATTGAATTTGCTGCCACAGTGATGGTAGCAAAGGAAGCACAGTTTTTCCTTGAAATTTCGCACTGTGGCACCAACTTTCAGCAGCACCTTGCTAGCACAAGAGCATTTTAACATACACTGTCAGTTTTGTGAGGAGCACAAATTGATTTGTAAGCCAAACTGTGTTCCCACAAGCTTCCTGGAAATGCTGAGCAGGGCATTTGACTCAATGGTCTTATAGAGATCCCTTCCAACTCAATGATTCTGTGTTTCAGAACAAGACGTGCAGACCCCATGAATGTTCTTTTAAAGCAAAACAGTGTTTGTTTTAAAATTGGTTGGGTTTTTTTAATGACCATGGTGTGTTATGGGGTTTCAGCAAGACAGGATTGGTAACATGATACCCCCACCCTGGCAGTTACCTGTCCTGCAACATATTTATAAGTTTGTTAAAGAAGGGAGTAGAGGAAAGGGTTTGCAAAGAGATTTAAATAAGAGAATCAGCCCAGCGATGCTGTGATTAACTAACATGCACCAGAATAACCCAACAACATGTAGATGAATATGTAGTTCCAATGCCCACTCTTTGGGTAACTTCAAACGTGCTATCAAAGAGAACCTATGACCGCATATCACATCAGATGGAAGCAAAGTCTTCCTAACCAGTCGTGTCATGTTGAATGACTACCTCTCCAGTTAGGGGCAGCTCGCCTCCATCTGATCTGATATTTGGGATCAGGAACCAGTAAATATTCCACACCGGTCTCTTCACCAGACTTGGTAAAGGTAAAGGAAAGGGTTTGCAAAGAGATTTAAATAAGAGAATCAGCCCAGCGATGCTGTGATTAACTAACATGCACCAGAATAACCCAACAACATGTAGATGAATATGTAGTTCCAATGCCCACTCTTTGGGTAACTTCAAAAGTGCTATCAAAGATAACCTATGACCGCATATCACATCAGATGGAAGCAAAGTCTTCCTAACCGGTTATGTCATGTTGAATGACTACCTCTCCAGTTAGGGGCAGCTCGCCTCCATCGGATCTGATATTTGGGATCAGGAACCAGTAAATATTCCACACCTGTCTCTTCACAAGACATGACACCATAGTTATCTCTGTTTTTTTCCATTTGTCAGAAACTTGTCAAAGAGCAAGAAGCCACAACACGGGAAGTCAAAGGAGAGCTGGACACCAGCCGGAGGAAAGCTGATCTCGAGGAACGCTTAGTCTGCGGTTTAGCCTGCAGCGCCACCATACTTGATACCACAGTTATCTCTGCTTTTTCCCGTTTGTCAGAAACTTGTCAAAGAGCAGGAAGCCACAACACGGGAAGTCAAAGGAGAGCTGAACACCAGCCGGAGGAAAGCTGATCTCGAGGAACGCTTGGTCCAGAGGCTCATTGAAGCTGATCAGGATGGGGAACAGAGAGCTCAGCAAGTAAGAACCTGCAACTCACAAGATACCCTTACTTGTTTTTCAGTTTTGTGCTGAGATGCTCTTAAGTTCTTCCTGTTGCTTTTTTTTTAAGTTTGCTGATGGAATATGGGCTTTTCCTTCTCAGACTGGCTTGGAGAAAATTACTGATAATTGCAATTATACACAAAATAAACAAAAGTATTGGGGTCACTGGATCTACCCCGAATAAGTAGGTATAAGTCTGCAGCCTTAAATTCCAATGCCGTATGCCATAGACTTAGGGTGGGCAACCTGTAAATCATGGACTGTATGCAGCCCTTCTTGACACTCCAGAATAGGTTCTCATTGGTTTCGTTCTCCATGTTCTATTGGTTCCCATAGCAACAAGGGTCTTTGGGTTACTCTTTTCTTGTTTCATTAAAAAAGGGTTCTGAAGAGGCCATTTGGGAGGGGACAAGAGATAGCTTGATGGCAGGGTAGAAACTTTGCAAACAGAAGATTCTAATTGCAGTCCCTGGCATCTGTCATTTGAAGGATCAGGTAGCACATGACTGAGCAGTGGCAGATCCCTCTCTGATATTCCTGAGGACTTCCTACCAGTCCCAGGTAGACAGTACTGTGAACTATAGGAAAAAACAACATGGTACATATTGATATTATTGATCTTGGAACTTTTCCAGGTTGAGCATTTCTTCTTCTAGAAATGATAGGCTTTCCACTGATCTTACCGATACTTTTCTTACCATCCATATGACGTTAGATTGTGTTGCATAGTACAGTGCTATTTCCTATGACTTTTTGCTCTTTCTAGTATTTGCTGAATATGCTTTATTTATAGTATGACCTTGTTTTAGGGTGAAGTTTAGAGCTATGATGCTACTGTTGAAGGTGATGTCTATAGTGAGAGCTTTCTGGTCAGAAACAATAGCTGCAGCAGGGAAACTCAAGCAAGGCAACCAGGCCACTCTGGGCGGCTAACAAGATAACACAATATCAAAACACGATAAAAAAAAACTAAAACATACATTCAAACGAATAAGATAACCAACGGGATAAATTAAAACAGATGGCTATGAAGGTGGTAAAAAGGATGATGAAAGAAAGGGTGGTAAAAATGATGGTAAGAGGGAGGCTAAGATCTCAAAAACATCCCTGATTGCTCTCTGGTTGGCTACTAAGGACGTGTTTTTTGATAAGTGGGTATTATTCGGTTTATTTGTTTTTCTTTTTGTGCATGTAAAGATTTTAAATCTGAAAATTTAAATTATTTCAACTTTGTATTTTTGATATGATAATTTAGTTAACTGTTTTTTGGTTTCATTTATTTTTTAATTCATGCTGTGGGATACTTTGGGTCTTGCTCTAGAGGAAGACCCAATATAAGTGAAATATTATAAATAACTCAGTAGCCTATGAGGAGTTTTTACTGATCCAAAGGGACTGGGCAACTAGCTGTTTATGAGCCTGGGGCCTCCTGAAAAAGGAATGTGTGCAGAGCCCCCCCAAATCAATCTCTCCCTGACAAGCTCTGTCTGACCATAGATGGTTGAAGAATGTTTGGCCAAAGCCAGTCAAGAGCAGATTGACACAGATTGGCAAACTCAAGCTCTGCGAAAGCAAAGATTGGACGACATGGATCGTGAGGTACATTATCGAGAAATAGCAAAGCTCCTCCATGAGAGCAGAGCCACAGAGGCAGGACTCCTTGATGCAATGAAAGCAGAGGAAGCCAGAAAGGTGAGTGCCGAAAGGTAAACTTGAGCATCCATCTGCTTTAATCCATCCATGGCTGGACAAAAGGACGTGGAGTCTCTACGTGTTGGTTTGTTGCACTGATACCTTCCTACATGCGCATGGTAGTGTATGTTGCTGTTCTCCTCCCAACAATTCTCTAAAGCAGAAGGTAGGCCTGGAAGGTGGATTGGTCTCTGAGAGAGGGACTCAAGGAGAGGTTCATTGCTGTGTAGGACAGGAAGCTTCAGCGTCCAGATGTTGGACTCCAGGTCTCATTATCCCCAGCCTGCCTTGCCAATGGCTTGGGCGTTGTGTTTGTTAACAGCTGGAGAGTCAAAAGTTCCCCAGTCTTGCCTTAGACTAAAGTAATTTGCAGACACTTCTCAGGCTGTTAAATATATTTTGCAGTAGTCCCCAAAATTGTCAGTGTTTGTAAGAATCTAAAAGTTTAGTTAAGACACTTCAAAATACTGTCATGCTATGCTTTGTTATGATTTGTTATGCTATGGGATGGGATGGGATGACAGTATGCCATTGAATTATTTTTAGTGGGGTTTAACCTGGGTCTCTTTCTTCTTCACCCCACCCACCACACTTTACTGGTCTTGTGAACAGGGGACTCCTGCTTTGTTTTTCTGTTGTCACAGAGGGAGGAAGTTCAGGAGAAGAGAGAGCAGCTGGCAGAAGCGAAGGCAGCTACTGCTGCTATGGATGCCAACCGGAAGCGCTTTCTAGAACGTGAAATGAATGATGCAATAGAACTAGCCTTAAAACTCCAGGACGAAGATGGCTATTTTGGTGAGCGGATAAGCCTTCTGCACGCGGTTAGCCTGTCTATTTAAGACACTAGTAATGTATAGATCTCAATGTGGTATGTACATAATAGAAATTAAAACCTGTAAATTTGACAGGGCAGAAAAATGCAAGCACAAACACACAAACCAACTTGAAAAGAGAAGGCTGCATCCAGCGTAGCACAAGTAGACTTTTCTCTTTCTCTTCCAGAGCAAATAAGGGGGTTGTACAAGTGGCTGCAGGAACATGGGAGACTGTTTGGCTGATGGTACTTATATTTCCTGTAGACAATGGAATGCAACCCAGAATAAGCTACAGAATAGAATTATCAATATGTAAAAGATCCTGAAAGCATTGAAAAGATAACAGACCAGGCAGATCTTTTACCCTCTTAATCCAAAGGAGAGTTTCCTCCTTGTGGCTGGATCCATCCCGAGTGTGTGGTGTCTCCAGGCTCAGTGTGTGTTGGGGGTGGTCCCTCTCACACAATACTGATAACAGACCAGGCAGATCTTTTACCCTCCTAATCCAAAGGAGAGTTTCCTCCTTGTGACTGGATCCGTCCCGAGTGTGTGGTTTCTCCAGGCTCAGTGTGTGTCGGGGTGGTCCCTCTCACGCAATACCAGGACCAGAGGACATCCACTCCAGTGGAGTGTTGGGAGAGTGAGAACAGACAAAAGAAAACATTTCTTTACCTAGCGTGTGGTTAGTGTGTGGAACCCCTTGCCACAGGATGGTGTGGTGATGGCATCTGGCATAGAGGCCTTGAAAAGGGGATTGAGTAGATTCCTGGAGGAAAAGTCCATCGCAGCTGACGAGCCTGGCATAGAGGCCTTGAAAAGGGGATTGAATAGATACCTGGAGGAAAAGTCCATCGCAGCTGACGAGCCATGATGGGGATTATAATCTCCAGGTTTAAAAAGAAGGTACCTTAAAATGCCAGATGCAGGGGAAGAGGGGTATCAGGAGACACCTATCAGGAGACAGCCTCGTGTGCTCCCAGAGGCATTTGGTGGGGCCGCTGTGAGATACAGGGAGCTGGACTAGATGGGCCCTTGGCCTGATCCAGCAGGGCTCCTTTTATGTTCCAGTGTTCATGTAGCCTCACATGGCCTGATCCAGCAGGGCTCCTTTTATGTTTCAGTGTTCTAAATAACCACTTGCTGTACAGTTAGGAACTACTATGGAATAAAGGCCACAGTATTGATCTTTGGCTGGGCATATCAGAGTTTCAACCCTCAGTCAATCGTAAGGTCATTGAGTGGTTGAATCAGAATTTAGCAGAATTATTCTTAGAATAAAGTCAGATAACCTTCCCTTCATACCACTCTAAGTACGCTGGAGAAAGGGAGAACAAACCAGATAAATAACTAAAGATAATACACTGTGTATTTTGTGTGCCTGTTTATCTGTCTTGCCATAATTCCTTCCTTTGGTCTAATGCAGGAATGGGGAACATTTGGACATCCAGATACCATTGCTGAATAATGGTAGGATTTTTAGCTCAGCAACATCTGGAGGGTCGCAGGTTCCTCATCCCGTTTTGCAAGGTCTGTCAGCTGGATATAATTCTGTGACTGGCAAAGAGTTAGAAGGGAACAGTGTGTAACCTGCTCTAACCTTGTCATTACATTGGTGCCCCGCTTAATGATTACCCCCGTATAACGACGAATCTGTTTCACGACAATGTTTTTGCGATTGCATTTGCGATTGCAAAACTATGTTTGAATGGGTTTTTTTCGCTTAGCGACGATCGGTTCCCTGCTTCGGGAAACGATTTTTCACTTTACAACGATTTTCCAACCGCTGATCGTCGGGTTTCAAAATGGCCGCCACTGTGCAAAATGGCCCCCCGTTGTTTTTACGACTGATTTTTTCCTCTACAAGCACTGGGAAATGGTCGTCCTATGGGGGATCTTCGCTGGACGATTAAGTATTTCGCCCATTGGAACGCATTAACCGGTTTTTATTGCGTTTCAATGGGTTTTTTTAAATTTCGTTTGACGACAATTTCACTCTACAATGATTTCGCTGAAACAAATTAACGTCGTCAAGCGAGGCACCACTGTATGTGAGTGTCAAGGTTAGGCTGAAGCAAGGCATCATCGCTGGAGCTCCTCAGGGAGACATTCAAAAATCTTCACTAATGTAATCAACACGACACTCTGAACATTCCTGACATCATCTGATTTTGGAAGTTAAGCGTGGTCACACCTGAACAATTTTTGAATGAGAGACCAGGAGGGAATACTATGCATTGCACTGAGCCAGCTCAGTGGAAGAGCAAGTATCTAAATCTAAAATCAATCCATGAGATCTCTGGGTAGGGCTAAGGAAGAATCCTTCCTGAAACCCTGGAGAGCTGCTGCCAGTCATAGTTGACATCACTGGGCTAGGTAGGCCAATGGTCTGATTCAGTACAAATCAGTTTCTTATGCTAATGTGGGAACAGATCAGGAAAGGGTGTGCTGAGAGTGTGTGAAACCCCTCCTCAGTGTCCTGCTAATATTCAAAGCATGACTCAGTGTGAAGCTATTGTTTACCAATTGTTTTTTTTAAGAGGTATGATTTTTGTTTTGATCCACAATAGGCAGTTTCGGTAGCCTTTTGGTTTAAACAGATCAAATATTTCTTGGCCTTGACCTTGCTTGTGACCCTAGGAAGACCCCTGTCTATTTTCTGCAGAAAGACTGCGTGATTTGAGAGCTTCACACCCTCAGCAGCGTTTGGAATCCCGTCAAGCGTCCGTTAAGGCTCCGTCACACCCTGGCAACGTCTGCTTGAACGATTCATCAGGACGAGACTCTTCAAGCCGCTGTAAGCAAAGAACAGAGTCTTTGAAAGCAAATCTAGGTGTAATGTATATCACATAATTTGCTTAGGTGTAGCTTTTTTATTATTAGAACCAATAAAAAGATGGTGTGAGTTTTTGAATTGGGCAGAACTCCTCATCAGGGAACAGAGCACAAAATTGTGTGGGTGGGCAAGTTACAGGTTCAAAACTGGTCTGAGGCTTTAAGTACTCAAAAGTTTATGGCACCTTTGCAGATCTTTTAATAGTCTTAATAAAAAGTTTTAACCAGCTGTGCATTTTGTTGGATCACAAGGTCTAAAGTATGAAGAAGTAGACTTGTCTGTGAAAGCTCACATTAAAATATAGCGATTAGTCTTTAAAGTGCAATGATATGTCTTCCTTATTTTTATTTTTTGTCTGACATGCTAGCACAGACTAAAAGGGCTACCTCTTCTAAAACCAGATTTTTTTCCTCTTATTTTGCATACATAGTGGAAAATATAGCGTTATTTGCTGTAGCCAGATTCGTAATATGAACTTTATCCTATTCTTTCCCACTTCAGTACATTAATACTAGTGGTGAGAGATGGGCCAATCCAGTTAGTGAACACTGTCTCATGTGGTTCTGTTTTGCACTGACATTTCTCTGTAGGCATGTTGAGCACCATTTTTCAGTTGAAAGGGAGAATTCAAATATCAGAAGTAAAAGAAGCATTTTCTCAGTACAAGAGTATCAGGCTGCCTTAGTAAAGTACTCGTTGAAAATTTCTAAATCTGCGGAAAACCTACAACAACCATCTCTGGCAAAGATTTGCAAAAAGGCTTATTAAAAATTTGTAAATCTCAGAACTTTTCTCCTTTTTGCTTTGCTTCCAAAAATTCTAAAAATGAGTATGATATACTATAGAGATGAGTACAAATCGCTTCATGCCCCCCAAAAATCGTGCTGCTTATATACTGCCCCATAGTGCTTAAAGCACTCTCTGGGCAGTTTACAAGTTAATTACGCAGGCTAAGCATTTTCCCCCACCCCCCTGCAAACTGAGTACTCATTTTACCGACCTCAGAAGGATAGACAGCTGAGTCAACCTTGAGCTGGCTACCTGGGATTGAACCCCAGGGTCAGGAGCACAGTTTTGGCTGCAGTACAGCAGTTTAACCCCTGCACCACGAGGCTGGGTCATTGCGAGTTGTCAGCATGGCACCACAGATGCCATACATTCCCTTTCCCCACCCTGGCTGGCTCCCCTTCTCACCAGCCAGCATGTGCTGCTCTTCTCCTCCTCTTTGAGCATTTGACCAGTCCCATCAGGAGTGCATGCTTCTCTCCTCTGCCACCTCCAGCAGCCGCCCACTCAGATGAGGAGGCGGGGCAAGGATTCCTGCAGCACTGCTTTTGAGTAGCCGATTGCTAGAGGAGGCAGAGGGAAGCATGCACTCCTGCTGCAACCAGATTCCTGCAGCACTGCTTTTGAGTAGCCGGTTGCTAGAGGAGGCAGAGGAGGGAAGCACACTTCTGCTGCAACCGGGTGGTTGCGTGAAAAAGGGAAGACGAGCAACATGCGTTGCCTAGTGAGTGGAGGAGCTGGGCGGGGTAGGGGAAGGGAACAACTCATGACAACCTGGCACGAAGCAATTTGTGCCCATCTCTAGTATGCCTTTTCTTTGCTGAATCCTTGCTGATCTGTGCATTAAAATACCCTGTGTGCAGTTGTGGTTTCCAATTAAACACATTTGCTACTTTGATCTTGAAAAGATGCCAGACCATGCTTTGAGCTTGTACCACCAGAGTTGTAATTCAGTTCTCTTCATTCCAGTTTCTTTAAACCGAGGACGGCAAGATCTGGAAAATCGGGAGCGGGAGCTGATGGCCGAAGTCAGGCAACTTAGGCAAAAGCTCATGTCACAAGCTCGAGCAAAACAGGCTCCACCTGTGGATGCTCAGTGGAGCAGCTGAAGTGACACGATCCAACGGCACATGGACTTTCCCACTGAGATTCTAATTAGGAAGCCACAGAACTGATTTTACACCATTTATTTGTACATGTATTTTTGTATGTAAGAATAAAAGGTTAAATGTTGCAACTTGATTTTTAAAATATATATATTAAATAAATGTACTTTTTTTTTAAAACTGTGTTGCAGCTTCGTATTAAAGAATGTGTTGCTGACGAAATACTGCTGCGAAAACTCTCACAGTATTGGTCATACTGCTGTATAGACCATCTCTCTACCTCAAAATAGGAGATCTCTCTTTAACAAAGTTTAAATATTCTTTATTCAGCCCCAGCGAAGGGGTAGTATTGTAGGACCTGGATGTTTGCTTTGAAGACAGGCTGGCAGAGCTTCGTATTAAAGAATGTGTTGCTGACGAAATACTGCTGCGAAAACTCTCACAGTATTGGTCATACTGCTGTATAGACCATCTCTCTACCTCAAAATAGGAGATCTCTCTTTAACAAAGTTTAAATATTCTTTATTCAGCCCCAGCGAAGGGGTAGTATTGTAGGACCTGGATGTTTGCTTTGAAGACAGGCTGGCAGAGCAGATACATTGCATGTACAGTGGTGCCTCACTTAACGATTAACTCGTTAAATGACGAAACCGCTTGACGATGAAGTTTTGCATTCGCAAAATTATGTTTTAATGGTAAAAATTCACTTAACGATCGGTTCCCTGCTTTGGGAACCAATTTTTTCGCTAAATAACAATTTTGAAACAGCTGATGGCAGCTGATGGCCGCTGATGTTTCTAAAATGGCCGCCCGCTGTGCAAAATGGCTCCTCGCTGTGTTTTCAGGACGGATTCCTAACTTTACAGGCACCGAAAATGGCCGCCCTATGGAGGATCTTCGCTGGACGCTGAGGTATTTAGCCCATTGGAACGCATTGAACCGGTTTCAATGCATTTCAATGGGCTTTTTCATTTTGCTTGACGAGGATTTCGCTTAACAGCGATTTTAACTGAACGAATTATCCTCGTCAATCGAGGCACCACTGGTATTTTATTTTTTTTTATATATATTATTTATATGCTGCCTTTCTCCTCAAAAGGGACCCAGGTTCCCTCTATGACATCCTCAGGTCAGGTCCCAGCCTTGTAGGCGGGTCTTGAAAGAAACCAGCCTGCAATCCTTGAGGGTTGTTTTTGTTATCACTGTCAACAATATCAGACAGGGTGGAGCCAAGCCTCTGACTTGCTGGAGCCCCTATTGGTTATTCTAGCCATCTTTAGCATGTTCAGTTTGGCTTATCCAGCTAGAGTATTTTTGTACTTCTAAAAGTACTTCGTCCTGCACTGATTGTATTAGTATTTTCCCCATAATCTGTGTGATGTCATATTTTATTTGGTTTGGTGACAACAGTGACAATATCCATGCTTTCTTAAACTTTTGTGTCGCTGCTGCCTTTACAATTTATTTTGTTTTGGTACTCTGAGGGATGGAGTTTACTGCTGTGCTATGTTCAACACAGTTTGTGTCCATATCGGAGGTATCTTCCAACTGGAAGCTTTTAATTGGCAGACCCAAGTTATTAATTTTTTAACCAAGTCCAGAGAAAGACGCAGCAGCAGCAGGAGGAGGATGGATTTCCAATAAGGATTACGAAGACCTGAAGAGAAACAGTTCTGGAGACGTGGCTTCCAAATGGGAATCCAGACAACCCTCAATTTCCTTTCAGACAAAATATCAAGTAAACATGACCATTTAGGTGGAAGGGGTGCCACAAAAGGAGAAGGCCTCTATTGGTGGCAACGTAATGGGCAAATGTTGCCCATTTGGTGCACCAATCTGCACCAAAAGGACCAGCGCAGAAATGCCTTGAGTTCCCACCCACGCTTTAAGGCTAAAAATGGGTCCTGGTCTGGAAAGTGTTGAGGACTAGACTTGTCCTAGCTCAAAAGCCTCCTGCTGCCTAAGATTTCAGGGCCAATGGCTAAGACCATGGGGGAGCCCCTTGTGAATTCAAATGGGAAGCAGAGACTGGCAATCCAATCCCCCAGTGGTCCTCTTGAACAGGGGTTGGATTTGATGATCCATCAGGTCCCGTCCTGCTCTGCAGTTTTAAGATGATTATGGTGATTCCTGGTGGTGCCATGAACTGGAGCCTTCAGCAAGTAGGCTTTGTGTAATGGACGATGCAGAGGGTGGCCAGAATGCTGTTTACAAGCAGGGAGCATAAAGGCTCTGCAGGGAAGTGATCCACTCCCCGGCTTGCAGTACCTTGAGCCCAAGATGATCCCATTGGCAGCAACAGGGTCTTCCTTTTGCTTCAAGGGTAAGCAGCAGGGAAATGTGCCGGCTGTGCAGCGAGCAGTTCCACATACCCTCAGAACAAACAGCTGATGGGCCCGTAGGATTAAGTGAAGCAGCAAGATCTCAACGCCAACAGCCGCTCTAAAGCAGGCCGGATCATGAAAAAGACAAGAGGCATTTCTGAGCATGATAAATAGCACGCCTTGAAAACCATGAGAATTTGGGACTTGGCAGTGCCCTCTCCTGAGATTTCAGATCAAATCTTGCATCTAAGGCATGGATTAATTTTTTTTCTAATTGCAATCTCAAGTCCTTGTTGTTTACTGCCAGTCAAATGCTGTTCCCTGCATATCTTATATGGTTGATGATTTCCCACTAATTCTCGCTCCTCCTCTGGGATCTGATCCATTTTCTTTTCATGATAGGTACCCCTTGCTGATCAAATGGATGGGGAGCTTCAAGGCATCCTTGTCTGAACTTTTGCTGATGGGAAACCATCCTGTTTCTCCCTATTCTATCCAAACCACAGTTTCCTGTCCGATAGGTTAATCTTTAGGACAATCCAGGGTTTGGATCTGCTGCTTGGGTAACAGCCTATCCTCCATACTACCTTACCCGGGCTTCATGCTCTGGAGAGGACACTCCTCGATTCAGAGCATGTTACTATAGTCTCTCGAGACTGAAGGATGCCTATACATGATGATTTCCCACTAATTTTCACTCCTCCTCTGGGATCTGATCCATTTTCTTTTCATGATAGGTACCCCTTGCTGATCAAATGGATGGGGAGCTTCAAGGCATCCTTGTCTGAACTTTTGCTGATGGGAAACCATCCTGTTTCTCCCTATTCTATCCAAACCACAGTTCCCTGTCCGATAGGTTAATCTTTAGGACGATCCATAGGAGAACATCCTCAGGTTGCTATTTTAGGCACACTTAACGTGGGAGCCCAGGAAAACTCCCTGAGTTTTAATCTCCCAAGAAAAGTTCCTAAAATGGGAAGTGCGAATCGAAACCACGGTGGAATTAACTCTTTTCCACCCAAGTTTAACTGATTAAATGCCCATCTGAGGGGGTGGATATCATTCCCCCTTCAGCAGCTGTTTGTTTTCCTTGCAGTTTGAAAATATCACAATCTCCCGTTTAGCAACAGGGGGATGGATTCACAAACTCCCTAACAATTTGGGATTTAGGCAATAGAGGCGCTGTAAATACATGAACTCTTGGCAACCTGAGGTTTGCCGTCCCAAAACCAAAAATATCCTGCTGCCCCGTGTGAGGCTCGAACTCACGACCTTCAGATTATGAGACTGACGCGCTGCCTACTGCGCTAACGAGGCGGCTGAAAAGGTGCCTCTCAAGTGCCCTCATGAAATGGAAAATCAAGGCGAGAGCGGCACTCCTGCCCCGCCCAGAATTCGGGGGAGCTGCGTCACATCCGCCTTTGTTCTGCTATACGTTTTCAGTTAAGTGGGCGGAGCGATTGGAAGGCGGGACGGAGAACAGTCCTTGGCCCCTCCCCTCTCCGGCGCTGGCTGTGGATTAAGTGCAGTGACAGTGGTCTGAGGGGGAAAAGCTGATCGAAATCAGATTAATATTTTCCCGCCCCCGGTCCTGATCAAGACCCGCTCCGTTTGGCCCAGAAAGGAGTGCCCTGCAAAAGTTACTTTTTTGGACTACAAAAAAGGTGTCCAAAAAAGAACTTTGTCCAAGTTCTGCTTGAAACCTATGAATCCTATTGACTTCGGGAGTTGTACTCCAAACAGTAGCTTTGCCCAGCGCAGCCTGGAACTAATGCCTGAGGGCGTAACTAGTTGTTGCAGATATTAATAGAACCCAAATAATGATCAGACGTTTTTGGAGAATAATGCTTGGCTATCCAGAAGAAAGAAAAGGCTCTGGGGTAGAAGAATATATTTCTTATAAACGAAGCTGAAGGGTTGTGCTTCTCTGCCCAGGGTCCTCTTTCCACAGAAAATGCCCACAAGTCTAGTGTGGAAACCACCATTCAACTCCTTGCCTACTGCTTGTCCTGTCAGTGTGAATTTACAAAGGTTGTTGTTTAGTCGTTAAGTCGTGTCCGACTCTTCGTGACCAGAGCACGCCAGGCCCTCCTGTCTTCCACTGCCGCCCAGAGTTTAGTCAAATTCATGTTGGTTGCTTCGCAGACACTGTCCAACCATCTCGTCCTCTGTCGTCCCCTTCTCCTCTTTCCTTCACACTTTCCCAACATCAGGGTCTTTTCCAGGGAGTCTTCTCTTCTCATGAGATGGCCAAAGTACTGGAGCCTCAGCTTCAGGATCTGTCCTTCCAGTGAGCACTCAGAGTTGATTTCCTTTAGAATTGACAGGTTTGTTCTCCTTGCAGTCCAGGGGACTCTCAAGAGTCTCCTCCAGCACCACAATTCAAAAGCATCAATTTTTCAGCGGCCAGCCTTCTTTATGGTCCAGCTCTCACTTCCATACATCACTACTGGAAAAAACCATAGCTTGGACTATGCGGACTTTTGTTGGCAAGGTGATGTCTCTGCTTTTTAAGATGCTGTCTAGGTTTGTCATCGGTTTTCTCCCAAGAAGCAGGCGTCTTTTAATTTCGTGGCTGCTGTCACCATCTGCACCATCGGAGGCCAAGAAAGTAAAATCTGCCACAGCCTCCATATCTTCTCCTTCTGTTTCCCAGGATTTCCCAGGAGGTTACCATGATCTTAGTTTTTTTGATGTTGAGCTTCAGACCATTTTTGTGCTCTCCTCTTTCACCCTGATTAAGAGGTTCTTTAATTCCTCCTCACTTTCTGCCATCAGAGTGGTATCATCTGCATATTGGAGGTGACAGAATGCCATAAAAATTGTTTATACGTTGTAAAATGGCTGCTTTTTTGCAAGTCTTTTGTTCCTGAATGTACTGCAAATTACCTTAATTGGGGGGTCCCAAGTTGTACTAGAGTATATGAGAAAGAGGCAGAGAAAGGGAGAGGAATATGTTGAACCATAGCAAATTCACTACCACAATCATCATTATCCTTTCATCAGCAGCAGCCTTATAAGTGGCTGGCAATGTGAAAATTATCCATGCGACAACTATCAGCAGCTTCCAGATGCACTGAAATGTGTTGGATATGAGTGATGGGACTTGTAGTCCATCAACACCTGGAGGGCTTTCAGTTCCTCATCTCTGCTTTAGAAGATCAAAATAAAACAGGCAGAGTACAGAGTAATTCAACCAGATGTGATCAATGTGTCAGATTTCAATTGGTATGATTGAAACTGACAAGCCATTATTCACATGTCCACTTCATGAGTCCACCTGCCTCTCTCCTGTGTAACTGCAATGAATAAGTTGCTCCCAACATGCTTTTCTTCACCCTCTGAGCCTGTCGTGCAACTGACGGTTAATGCCAACGACCCGTTAAGGTTACATAACCAATTTGACTGGCTGGTGCATGAAGAGTGCCTGGAAGTGATCTTTTTATACTGCTCATAGGCTTCCAGGCCTGGATTCTTTACTTAGTACTTTGCTCTGGACTATGACAGCTGCAATCACTGAATCTAAATATCTTTCTCAATTAGTATTGCTTTTACTCCACAGATCAGCAAGAAAAATGCCCAGACCTTAAGAAAATGATATTTCTGGACTACACCTCCCCCATAGTCCCTCAGCTAGCATGGTCCCTGGACTTGGTAGTTGGGAAATCTGGAAGGGTATTAATTAACAAAGATGTCATATTTAGCATAAATGCTCTTTACCAGAGAACATTTTGTTATATTTTGATCTTATTTTAATGCAACACATGTCTTTCCCTGTGACCTTAAAAACACGATTTTAGATCGATTTTTATGCATTACTGCTTTGAATGGATTTTTCGTACTACTTGTGTTTTCCATTTTTTTTCTTTTCCATTTCTCAGAGTGACATTTTTAAAACTTTTGAATACTTATTGATCTTTGCCTTAATATTGCCTGTCAGTAATGTAAGATGCCCCCTTATTAATTGTTTGTAGTTTTTAAATATTGTCTTTTAATGATGTTAACCACCATTGTATAGGCATTGTTTTCAACTTTAAGTACTCCTCTTTCATTGTTGTAAGCTGCCTTGGGTCCTTTTCAAGGAGAAGTGCGGGGTAAAATATTTTAAATAAATAAACAATACAAATAAAAGCAATGTAATATACAGTGTTGCTATTTTGTTGTTATGTGCCATCAAGTTGCTCATGGTGACCCACTGACCAAGAGATATCCGAAAGGTCCCGTCCTCAGCAACCCCGCTCAGCTCTTGCAAACTCAAGCTGTGGCTCCCTTTAGGGAGTCAGTCCATCTCATATTTGGTCTTCCTCTTTTCCTGCTGCCTTCCACCTTTCCCAGCATTATTGTCTTTTTCTTGTGGGTGTGCCCAAAGTAGGACAGCCTCAGTTTCAACATTTTTGCCTCCAGAGATAGTTATGGCTTGATTTGATCTAGGACCCACTTGTTCATCTTTCTGGCAGTCCAGAATACCTTCAAAACGCTGTCTTCCAACACCACATTTCAAACAAATCCATTTTTTTTTTCAGTTTACTCAGTCTGAACTTTATCTTTGGAGTCATGAGAGACAGAGAGAGTCTTGAATCTATTTAAAAAGATAAGAACCCCAGGCTGTTGCTTTTTGCAGACAAAACCAAACATTGAGGCTGCCACAGCATTGCACAATGCAGACAAATTCTGCATGCAGTGATTATTATGGCCGAAGAAAAGGATGAGTTTTGTAGCAATGCATACAGCTGATTCCCAGCATTGTGTAGTGTATTAGGACTCTGGAGATCAGGGTTCAAATCCCTGCGCTGCCAGGGAAACTCACTGGGGAAGTGGAACTGGTAAAACCCCTTAAATATCTCATTTATCTTGAAAGCCCTATTAGGGTTTCTATATGTCAGTTTTACACATGCACACACAAACAAACAAACAAACAAACAAACAAACAAACAAACACACACACACACACACACACACACACACACACACACAGTCCTTCAGCCCATTTCTAGTGAAATTGATCTCTTATGTATAAATATGGATTTACTTTGCTCCTTGGTAGCTTTTGTAAAAGCACTGAGCTGCCTTAAAAATTGGTCCAACTCTATTCAGGAATGCTTTTGCACGTTCTCCCTGAGTACCACCTTCATTTCTTGCCCCGTCAGATTAAATGACAGAGAAAAGGAAGTCAGATGATGAAATCAAAGGTGGATAATGAGCAGCTGGGTCTCCTTTGTTCAGCCCCAGGGAGAAGGTGTGATTTTCTCAGTTCAGCAAACAAATCACTTTCAGACTTGATTGCCATCTGGAACGTGATTGTTGGAGAAGTGCATCTGCTAAGCTTGTATAATTATTTTTTTTTAAGTTCCAGAATGCACTCATACTATGAAATCTGGAGAGGGAAGGCTGAGACGTTTAGCCTTAGGTATGGAGGACTCTGTCTGCCTTTGAAAATCACAAGAAAAGAGAGTCTGGAAACTAGCACGTACAGGTGCTGAAGGTGTGTGGTTCAACCCACTGCTGCTTAAAATTGGGGTTGTTTGCTGTTTGTTTTGTCTAAATTTCGAGGCAGACCAGATCCAACTCTACATCTCAGGGAAAGAATCTGGTGGAGAAACATGAACAGATCAAGGCACATGGGTAAGATTCGGCGCCGACTGGAAGAAGTCAAAAATTCCTCCTTCCGACTAGCAAAACTGGATTTTAATCATAATGAAAGTGTGCGTCTGGCCACGGATGCCCTCTTAGATGGCGGGGTTCAGTCCTACTTCAAGGCTTTGGAAGAAGAAGGAGAAGTTGATTTCCTGTCATCCGTGGAAACTCAATATATCGAGAAAAATGCAAGGGAGCCATACTATTCTAATGAGACTCATGCGGATGGAGAAACGGGACCCAGACAGAATAATGACACCAGGTCCCTCCCGTCGGGAACTTACTTCCCACTGGTATCTGAGGCTAGCGAACCAGCCCTTCTCCACACATGGAACGTGGCTAAAAAGCCCTACTTGGAAGAGAAGTCAAGTGCTACTGTGTATTTCCAAACAGAGAAAAACAGTAATATTCGGGACCTGATACGACGCTGCATCAACAAGACCTCCCAGGTATGGAAATGGGCTCTGGAGCTTGAAAATTCTCTCTTTCTCTCTCACTCTCACTCTCTCCTGGGAATACAGGTCCCAGAATCTCCCAGTCAACTGGCCAAGAGATACTAGGAGCAGCAGTCCAAGAAAAAAGAACTTCTTCAAGATCTGGGGATGGGAATTGGGTGAACAAAGCTAGCTCAAAGAAGCAGGCAGTCATGTTGGGTCAACTATGTGGTCATCACAGTCCTTCTACTGTACAAGTTGAGAGCGCACTTCCATTCCGCTGGAATGACCCAGACAGTTTGGGAATTCCACCGGCATGGAGGTTGGGATGTTTTCACCCTGCTTTTCCTCAGACAGAAAAAAAACCTTGAGCTTGAATCTTCTTGTTACATGTCAGTGAACTGACAACTTCCTTTTGGCGGACAGGCACATATCCTTCTTTCCGTTTCCTTCTCAAGTTTGCTGTGTGGCAACTGGAACCATTGAAAGAAAAGCAGAACAGATCCTTTGTATCTTCCTGTCAGGGACAGCCCTACCGTTAGGCAGAGTGAGATGACGGCCCTCCAAACATTCCCCCTGGGTGGTCGCTGGGATGTTTTCACCCTGCTTTTCCTCAGATAGAAAAAAAAACCCAACAACCTTGAGATTGAATGTAGATTGATTATTATTATTCTTGTTACATGTCAACTTCCTTTTGGTGGACAGGCATGTATCCTTCTTTCAGTTTCCTTCTCAAGTTTACTGTGTGCCAACTGGAATCATTGAAAGAAAAGCAGAACAGATCCTTTATATCTTCCAGTCAGGGACAGCCCTACTGTTAGGCAGAGTGAGATGACGGCCCTCCAAACATTCCCCTTGGGTGGTCGCCTTCTGCTGTCGGAGGATGAAGGTGTGTGTGCCAGGAAGCCTATCCTGCACTCCCTAAACTAGTCCCCTTTTCTCAGGGATAATGATGGGTGTTGTCCTGTTGCTAGTGTTGAAGTACAATTCAGCTGCCAACCCCACCGGTGTCTGCCTCAGGAATTACAGGAGGGGTTGCCATCTTGTCCTGTGCTTCAGGCAGCAAATTGTCTTGGGCCACTGCGGTTTTCAGCTCGGTGAACCCTGGCAAAACCATCCCCCTCGAGCAGTGAAGGGCAAGGGTGTCCCTCTAGCACCAAGGGGGTTACAAACTCTTCTGTGGGGTGGTCACCTTATATGTGTTGTAGCCCTTGTTAAATAATGTCTTCCTTGACCTTTCAGAGGGGGGTATTAAAGTTATTGTGTATGTGCATGGGTGAAAAAAACACGCCCTATGAGGGAGGAAAAAAAACCCGCTAACTTTCTGAGAGGGCAGCAAATTGTCTTGGGCCACTGCGGTTTTCAGCTCGGTGAACCCTGGCAAAACCATCCCCCTCGAGCAGTGAAGGGCAAGGGTGTCCCTCTAGCACCAAGGGGGTTACAAACTCTTCTGTGGGGTGGTCACCTTATATGTGTTGTAGCCCTTGTTAAATAATGTCTTCCTTGACCTTTCAGAACAGGGTATTAAAGTTATTGTGTACTGTATGTGCATGTGTGAAAAAACACACCCTATGAGGGAGGGAAAAAAACCCACTAACTTTCTGAGAAGGAATAACTTTAACCCATTAAAATGCCTTTTTAGGCCAACATAGCAGGAGGTGATTGCAAGTTACCTCACTATTGTAAAAGGGGGTCACAACTTTTAAAAGGTTGGGAAACCACTGCTCTAGAGATGATGATGATGATGGGAAATCACTGCTCTAGAGATGATGATGGTGATGGTGATGGTGATGGTGATGGTGATGGTGATGGTGATTACTGTAACTCCTATCATCCCTCTCCATTTTCTGTGCTGGCTTAGGATGCTGGGATTCATATGCCAACAGATACCTTGGCAGTTCGGATTACTTATCTAGGCTATGGAGACGCCTGGATTATGGTATTAACCCCCCATAGTGGCCAGAATGAATGAGATAGTGAAGTTTTCAGAGTATTCTACAAGGTTTAGCTAAATGTTCCAGTCTATGGCATTGGTCGCCTGCTGAACAGGGCCAATGTCTTCAGATCCTTGTTATGTCTTTCTGCTTGGTTTACATCCATCTGTTCTCCACCGTAGGTACTGGCCATATTGATGGATGTCTTCACCGATGCTGAGATATTCTGTGATGTCTTAGAAGCAGCCAACAAGCGAAGGGTGTTTGTCTATCTGCTGCTTGACCACTGCCACCTAAAGCTCTTCTTGGAAATGTGTGACAAGCTGAAAGTTGCTGAAGAGCACTTCAAGGTACGGTTGAATTCTCTTACAAAAATCCCCTCCCTCCGGCGGACATCATTTATCACCCTTACATAGGTTGCCCTTAATAAGGATCAAAGATTGGAAAAAATTACTTTTATGGACTACTACTCCCAGAAGGCTTCAGCCAGCAAAAAGGTTTTCTTGTCCAAGATCTAAACAAAGGTTGGCTTTGTTTCTGTGCATGCTTTTGAAAGAAAATAAAACATCAAAATAAGGGTCAGAATAAGCGGTGTCCAAAGCAAGGGTATGACAGAACAAGTGGGGTTTGCTGCAAAACTTTGTAGCATGGAGTGGTAGCCTGTTCAGGGTGCCAGTCATATTGTCTTCTTAGGGAACCCTCCATTTCATCCCTTCTCCCACCTTGTTTTCTATTCCCTTCTTCAACAGTCAGTCAGTGCTCCACACCTACTGAGCATGGACTGTTTCCAGGGTCCTCCCTGGAGGTTGCATTTCCCTCTCATACAGTTGAAACAACTTCAGGGGGTGATGGTGGCGAACATGGAGGTTGCAGTGACTGGCAGGCCTAAATGCCTGTATATCCCTGCATGCCTAAGTTTGTATATCCATGGGAAGACAGAAGCCTTTACCAAAAATCAAGAGTATATAAGAATTTAAATGGTATTGTTTATATTTATATGAAGGCATGTATATGTATCTATATCTATATAATATATACTGTATGTGCACATGAACACACATATCATGGCACTGTTCCTCTAAGTAGGAAGATCAAGGCAACATTTAGTCTTATCCTTGCAACACCCTTGTGAGGTAAGCTAGGATAAGAGATGATGACTGACACATAATGTTCTTTGATAACTTACCAGAACATTTCTGTGCGAACCGTTACGGGGGAAATTTACTGTGCCAAATCAGGTCGGAAGTTCTCCGGTCAAATCCAAGAAAAATTCATCATCTCAGACTGGAGATATGTTCTCTCTGGGTCCTACAGGTAAGATTACCCATCATATTTTGTTTTCTAAGAGGGCTGCATTCAACACTGTACCTTGTCTTATTTACTAGCTCCATGATATACAGTCCGTTACAGAAAGAGAGCTATTTTGATGAATGTATGAAGTACCTTGATGGATCAGACCAAAGATTTATGAAGTGCAGGATTCTTTTCACACCATGGGCATCCATGTGCCTCAATGGAAAGTTTCCAACCAGAACATGAATGGAGTAACACCTTCCTGCTCATGATTCCCAGCAATTGGGAAGCTGATGGTCTCTGATGTTCAAGACCATATTGCATACATAATTAGTGAGCACTGCACATGTTTCTTTAGGCATCCTATTCTGAAAGAGGCAGCAAAGATTGCTCTCTGTTGTCTGCCCCAGAATAAGCTATTGGTAAAACCCCTTAAATATCTCATTTTTTATTTTATTTTATTTATTTTATTTATTTTATTTATTTATTTTATTTATATCCCGCCTATCTGGTCGGTTATATACAGTATTTTATTTATAGGCCGCCTTTTCCCCAATAAAGGGACCCAAGGCTATGCAGCTCTTTTCATTCCTGCAAGTTCATTTTTTATGGCCCAGAAGGAGTAATTGGGAGAGCAGATTAGTCTATTTTCCAGCCAGTGGTGTAGTCAGATAATTTCTAAACCCTGGATTTAACTACCTTACACCTCTTCTGCCTTTATTTTATTTAAAATATTTTTATCCCACCTTTCTCCTTTAAAAAGACCCAAGATGATTCGGTGTACTGCTTTGCTTACCTGAGAGGTGAGCAACTTGATATCTGTGGACTATATTACAGCTTCCCAGGAACCTAAATGTGACTCCCAGGCCTCTCGGCCTCCTTGCACACACAACCCTTCAAATTTTAAATTAATTTTAGATGAAAGAACCTTTCGGCTTAGAAAATCCTGATGTGCTGTCTAGGGAGCAGGAGGCAAATCTGCCCCAGTTTGTGGGATCAGAGCACACCTAGCCCATCCCCCACCCCAAATAATTTAATTTTTTTTTGAAAACTTGACCATTTTTCCATGGTCAAGGTTTTTCCATCGTTCCTGTTCTTGTTAACATTTTGAAAAAAACTAGTCTGGGTGGGTCGTCACAGGAACAGGTGGAACCCCCCCCCCTCCTGAGGTCCAGGGATGGGCTGTACTGGCTCCTGGATCTCTGGAAGCTGCTTAACCCCTTTTTGTTGTTGTTGTTTAGTCATTTAGTCGTGTCCGACTCTTCGTGATCCCATGGACCAGAGCACGCCAGGCCCTCCTGTCTTCCACTACCTACCGGATTTGGGTCAAATTCATGTTGGTTGCTTCAGTGACACTGTCCAACCACCTTGTCCTCTGTCATTCCCTTCTCGTCTTGCCTTCACACTTTCCCAACATCAGGGGCTTTTCTCTTCTCATCAGATGGCCAAAGTACTGGAGCCTCAGCTTCAGGATCTGTTCTTCCAGTGAGCACTCAGGGTTGATTTCCTTCCAAATGGATAGGTTTGTTCTCTTTGCAGTCCAGGGGACTCTCAAGAGTCTCCTCCAGCACCACAATTCAAAAGCATCAATTCTTCAGCAGTCAGCCTTCTTTATGGTCCAGCTCTCACTTCCATACATCACTGGTGGAAAAAACCATAGCTTGGACTATGCGGACTTTTGTTGGCAAG